ACTCTTGGTGAAAATAGGAGAACGAGACGTTGTAGCGGGTGCAGTTGTGTAGCCCACTCCTTGACTGAGTGAGTTCTGAATGGCGCTGGATAATCTATCACTCAGACAAGGGTGAGCTCATCAACCATACTTGAAGACTTAAAGAGTTGTGATTGTGCGTTACTTGAACGAAGTGAGTAAGCTAGTTTGGTGCACAGCACAGTGTTGTAAATGTTGAGAGGCTCTAGTATTACTGTGCATTAAAATGTAGATATTAGTGGAGTAAATTAATGTTTAAATTTTATCGGTGTGGTTTTTAGCTTTGATCCTCTGCATTTTATCTGAGTTAGTCTTACTCTCTATTCAGTGAGTTACCTTTGTTATCTATAGAATCCTGATTGAATAAGGCTAAATACTGTACTGTAATTAAATACTTGTATTATTCTAAATCCACAAATGGCTAGGTGAAACAACTGAATTGTAAATGTGCTATTCCTGATGACGCTGAACGTTGTGGGTGTTTTTAATAAATTTTATATTTATATTTTGCACTCAAATGGTGTGTTCTCATTTACTGTGTACACTTTACACCAATAAACTCGCAGACAAGCCATGGAGAGCTGTCAAGAAAATTTGAACTGATTGTACTGTATATTTTGTACATTTTGCAACCTTCCAAGTGTGTTGATTGTGTTTAGTCTGAATGTGTGTGTGTGTGTGTGTGAGAGTGAGGGAGATTATGACTACACGTAGAGAGCAGAACACTGAACATCTGTAAGTTTAGAGACATTTCCTTCATGAGTTTACTGAATCAAGATTGTCAAGACCTGATTGCAGAACTTATTTAACAATACAGTGTACTCCACCTGTTTTTCTGTGACCATCTTGAGTAATACAGTTATTTTAACATTTACAGTGTCCTGAAAAGAAGATGAGAAAAAATGGTACAGACCAGATCACACACATGTATAGGCGACAATATAGGTTTCCTGAACGTTGTGAGTCACAGCAAATCTTACAAAATTAAGGAAAATCTGCAACCGTTAGGAATTCTTATAAGTTTGGAGTGGAAATGCATAGTTAGAAATAAATTTAAAATTCCAGGAATTGGTCATAAGTCAAAAGTGAAAATGTGAGACGTCTCAACGACATGGTAAGGCACTATATCAAATGCAACTATTAGTATTATTATTAAAATAAGTACTTGGACATCAGCAGGTCAGCTACTCTATCCCTAGCAACATCAGCACATGAATTTTCACGAATTTTGTGTTTGCAAACATGTTATTACCTGACTACACAGGGCTTTGAAAGTGAATCAGGCCTGCGTGACCTTCTTTTGTGTGAAGTTACTGGAAGCCGGAGTACAAATGGAATGCGACCTCGCTTGGCCCAATTATGACAACGTGGTGTGGCTTCACAGGACATGTCAGCAAAATGCTGGAAATCTGTTGCTCATCATCAGTGAAGTTTTTGACAAGAGACTGGAAATACCTATAAAAATACTACAGTATTTTATGTCAGGGAGGAATTGGAATAATCCCTCCCATGTTCTGGCAATTCCACCCTCCCTTGTGCTGAAAATATACAGAATTCACTTAGTTGTTGACAATTGATTAACCTCCTGGAGGGGGAAGGAAGGAAAGCAGAATCTCCTTGGAGCTGAGCTGGCTACAGGGTGGAATATCAGAATTGAGTAGTTTCTCTGTGGCAGTCGAAGAAGTCTGGTTCCTGAGCCAAGCAGGTTTGCAGTATTCCAAGGGACAGGTGATAATAGACCAGCTAGCCTGGCACATCAGTAGGACTTGGAAGGACCGATCGGTTGGTCAGTTGAGGCAAAGATTCTTCCCACTCGGCTCCTGTTAAATGTAAGCCATTGTCCTAAGGAATAGGGCAGTCCTTGCTGGACAAGCAGCGGAAAGCTTGCCAGCCATTGTTTGCAATTGTGCGGTTTTAGCTGATTAAACTCCCATGCACACTTGGATGCCCATGGCTTGACTCAAGCTAACCTGCACCTAAAACTTCCTCGCCCATTGTACCGTTTAATATTCCTCAACTTCAAGCAAGATTGAGTAAAACACCAGCAGAGACAATGGCAGGTCGAATATGTTTCTGCATCTTAACTTTCTACAATTTTATTCATTGACAAATATGATTTGTTTATTAGCCCCCGAAAAGCGGTCTGTCAATCAGCTAATAACCGAGTTCCTACTTACTGCCAGGAGCAAACACTCTGACCAATACACTACAGGACTGTGTCAGTTCTGGTGAGAAGTCATACTTGAAAAGTTAAATTATCTTTCTCTTTCAACCTGAGCTGCATATGTGTGTCATCTGCTGAAATCTTTGCAAGCACACACATTCGAGCTATTATGGTACTGACACAAGTGCAGAATGAACGAGTTGTCAGTGCCCTAGTTTAGCATCTCTTTCCTGTTGCCAAAGGTGTAAACTCAGTGCAGCACCTAGTTTCTTTCTTGTGTCTTTATTGGTCTGGTCCTGCTGCACCTCTATTCCTGAGAGTGGTTTTCCAGTCTATTTAATAATAATAATCCTTGGATTTGATGTAGCACCTCAACACGTCTTTGCGACGTCTCAAAGCGCTTCACAAGATATACTGTTAAGTGAATTGACTGTATATTTTGTGGGCGAGACGCAGCAGCCAATTGCACACAGCAGTATCCCACAAACAGTCATGGATTGGTGACCAAATTTTTTTTAAGGGTTTATTACCCCCGGAAAAGTGGTCCGCCAATCAACTAACAACCGAGTTTCTACTTAGAACAAATGCTCTAACCAACACACTACAGGACTGTGTCAGTTCTGTTGAAAAGTCATACTTGAAAAGTTAAATTATCTTTCTCTTTCAGATGTTACACTGCTGTATATTTTCTGCTTTCATTGTCAAAGATGTGGCAAAATTGGGACGTGAAAAACTTAACTTTCGCCAGGTTTGCACTGAAGCCCGGTTGATCCACTGGGGAATATGGGGGTAATGGTCTTTGGAGCCAAGTTTGGGCGCGAATGCGGTCTGCAGATTTCTGGATGATCTGCAGCTTGTGGAGTGTGGAGCTGGGAAGGTTGGTGAGCAGGGCATCAGAAAAGCTGAGTCTGAAGGTGACAAATAACAACTTGCATTTACACCCAGTGTAGCATCTTGGAGTGCTTAAGGGGTTACGAAGGTCTCAGTTGGTGGGTGGGTTGAGATAGTATCGAACAAACCACCAATGTGGTTTGCAGGCTCCGCAAGTTGGAGTGAACAACTGTGGATGTGGATGTCAGCACCTGAGGTGAGGAAGTGCTGACGGGAGCTGAGTGAAATAGCATCGATTCAATAAGAAGAAGAATCCTTGCATTTGATATAACGCTTTTCAAGTCTTCTAGACGTCTCAAAGTGTTTCACAGAATACTGTATATTTGTGGGTGAAATGCAGCAGTCAATTGCACACAACAGTGTCCCACAAACAGTCGTGGATTGAAATGACCAATTTATTATTTTTTTGAAGCATTATTATTAGGTGTGTGGAGTAAGGAAACTTGCCCAAGGTTTCACCCTGCCGGGAATCAAACCCAAGTCCCTCGCTTGCAAAGCGAGTGCTCTAACCACTGAGCTGCAGGACTCCACATTTTTTTTAAGTGTATTGACTGTGTATTTTGTGGGCGAAACACGGCACACCAATAGATTTTAAAAATTGTCAGTGAAATGCAGCAGCCTGTTGCACGCAGCAGTGTCCCACAAATGGCCATGGAGGGAATAACCGATTTTATTTGGGGGATTGTTGGCCAGGACATCAACAGCAACTTGCATTTATATAGTGCCCTTTACGCGGGGTACCGTCCTGAAGCACTTGACAGTGGCAGAGTCTGACACCGAGCCAGGGGGAGAGGCAGGTGGGAGGTGACCCTAAACACAATCAAAAAGGAAGGTCTTTAGGCGGGATTTAAAAGTGGGGAGGAGGCAAGGCGGAGGGATTGAGGGAGAGAGTTTCGGGGTGTAGTGGCTGAAGGCATGGCCATCGATGGTGGAGGGGACGAGGGACAAACAGCCAGCCGAGCGGAGGCAGCGGGCGGTAGAGTGGGGCGTTAGCAGATCGGATAGGTAGGGAGGTGCGAGGGCTTGAAGGGATTTGAAGACGGGTGAGAGGATCTTGAAATCGATTCCTACGAGCCTGGCAAGGACTGGTGTGATGGGGGTACGGAGTTTTGTGCGGGTGAGTAGAGAGAGAGAAACTCCCTTTTTTTTTTGGAATAGCTTCACGGAAACTTTAGAGTCCACCTGAACGGGCGGTCGGGACTCAGTTTAACGTCTCATTCCGAAGGATGGCACCTCCGACAACGCAACCTCCCCACCGCCCCATCTTACGACGATGCGATTCTGAGTCCCGACGTGAGGCTCGAACCCACAGCCTTCCGACTCCGAGGCTAAAGTTCAAGCATCGCACCGGGCGAAGACAAAGGAGAGAGAGGAGAGAGAAAAAAAAACCTTTGCAGGTTTACATTTTTAAAAAAAAAAATATTTTCAATTGGGGCCATCAACCAAAAAGGCTTTTTTTTCTTCCACGCACAACACTGGAACATCAACCCGCCCAACCGGGCGCGAAACCCCGCTTTGCAAGTGAGAGACCTGAGTTCAATTCCAGGCAGAGGGCGAAACCTTGGGCAAGTTTCCTTACTCCACACAGAGCCTAATAATAATCCCTCCAAAACCAAAAAACAATAATAAATTGGTCATTTTCAATCCACGACTGTTTGTGGGTCATTGCTGTGCGCAATTGGCTGCCGCGTTCGCCCACAAATATGCAGTCAATTCAGTTTACAGTGTGTTCTGTGAAGCGCTTTGGGACGTCCTCCCGACGTGAAAAGCGCTATATCAAATGCAAGGATTATTATTATTATTATTATTATTAAACCCGCCCAACCGGGCGCGAAACCCGCCCAACCGGGCGCAAAACCCGCCCAACCGGGCGCGAAACCCGCCCGAGGGGGTGCGTGGGCGCGCGAACCCTGTTCCTGCGCGTGCGCAGGGGTTGGCGGGAGCCAGACAGACGGTCAGAGACACGGCTGCGGAGGCAAGATGGCGGCGGCAGAGCCGGCAACGGGCGGCGGGCCGGTAAGCGAGACGGGGGAGAACCGGTCCTGGGCCTTCCTCCACACCACCGGCACCTCTTCCCTCTCCTCCCTCCCTCCCTCCCTCACCCCCGGAGGCTGAGGGTCCCTGTCCCCGAGGCTGGCGTGTAAGCCGCGGGCCGCCCTCAGCCACGCCACGCCACGCCGGCCCGAGCGCCTGGCGGGCCGCTAGGCCCCGCGTCCATGTGAGCGAGGAGCCGGCGGCTCGGCCTGGGCTCGGGCCGCTTCGCAGAGTGTTTTCCGTCCGTCTGTGTGTATGTCTCCGTGTCTCTCTCTCTCTCTCTCTTTCTATATATATATTTATAGACGCGAGTCTTGCAGGTTTCCTGACCCCCCCCTCCCGCAGCTCTTGACCTTTAGCGGAAACCTTGCCCCAAACTTCAGGAGGCGCGGGGGCTCCCGGCGGGGTTTGGGGATGGTCCCCACGCGGCGCGGGCCCGGGCCGGCGGCCTGCGGGGCGGCCACACGTTCAGACACGTTTGTAGCACAAAGTCTCCCCCCCCCCATCAGAAGTAGCCCCAATCGTTATCGCGCCGCCTCCCTCCCCCCCCCCCTCCGTGCGGGGGAGCGGAGCAGAGCGGAGCGGAGGGGTTGAGGTCGGCGCTTTCTTCCAAACCGTGTGCGTCTATTTTTTTAAAAAGAAAAAAAGTCTGCGGGTTGCGGGGACGACGACGACGACACACAAACGTTTTGCAGGTTTAAAAATGATTTTTTTAAAAAAAACACGCACCAGACTCCCGCCCGATTGGGCACGAAACCCGCCGAGTGTGACCGCGCAGGCGTTCAGTTTGTGTGTTAATGCCCTCAAACCCGCAGTCAGTCCCTGACGCCCGCAGCAATAACGCAGTTTAAACCAACATTTCGCAGAGCCTTTTGCCTGATTCATTTCTCTCTCCCCCCCACACCCCCACCCCTGTAAATATACAGTTAGGCGATTTGATCAAGAACCACAAATTGACCTTTTGAGTTTCGTCTTCAAAAGGACACGTTTGCAGTCTCTGCGGAGGTTGGGGATTGGTCTGGTGGGGGATTAGAAGTTATATTTTGGTGCTTTTTCTCTGCTGGTGGGTGGGCTGAAGGGGATCTTTTGTGCGTTCTCAGTTTGGGTGGTAAACTCACATGACCAGAACGTGTTGGCATGTGGCCATTTGCATCTTGCCCATGTTTATTGAAGAGGGTTGGTTGACAGTAAGTGATGCCCCTTTATTTCCATGTAATTTCTGGTCTCCAATTTCCGTGGTTTCAATGGAAGCTGAAAATGCTAAAGACTGCACTGAGGGAGAGATGTATTAATTTGATTGCAGTACAAGCGTTCCGGGACTCTACCCCACTGGAAAGGCCACTGTCTAAATGCAAATTGTTGTCCACGATAATTTGGAACTGCCCTGATGTGGATAATTGGTCATCTTGCAAAAAAACAAATTGACTTCACCACCATAATTAAATGCACGATTCATCATAACTATATAACTATAGCCACACTGTGCTAGCCCTTCCCTACGTCTATCTTTTTTGACTTGCTAAACAAAGGTAAGTATAAATATTCACATTTATAATACTGGGGGGGGAATCCAATTGTGCTCAGTTACAAGGTCTATAACTTACTTGTACTGCACATTTAAATCCTTTCCCTAGAAACCTTTCGCACAGCTTTGTATATTAGATTTTTTTTGCTGGTTTCTCAAAGCCCAGCAACCAATTTTGTATCAGAAGGTGCAGGTGGATAAGTGACTACTCTATAGGCCCTGAAGATTGCAGAACCATTGTGAAACTGCTCTATAATGTGATTTTTCTGAAAGTTGCTTCTGGATTTGGTGTGTTTGCCTACTAATACACAGTCATTTCATTTTACAGTAAATCCTTGAGGTGTTTTCAACAACGTGATAAGGCACAATATTGAATGCAAGGATTATTATTGTTTTCACTGAGCGTTTAAGTTCATTTTCTCCATGAATGTATCCTCTTGCCTGCTAATGGGAATGAAGATTTTAATTAAGTGCTACTCACTTATTGCGATCCCGTTTATATCAACAGCCTACAAATTTTCAAGCCCCCTAATAGCATTAATCACATTGTATTTTTACTGCTTATGTTGATGGGCACTTTATTTTAACCCTTACCTCCCTGCTCTGCGTCTGGCTCGCCGAAGCACTGAAACACTCCACTTGAGCTTTGGGGTGTGCAGCACATGAGGTAATGGGCATCCTCCTGATGTGAAAGGTACTGTACAAATGTAATTTGTTGTTGTTGTCTGCCTGGAGTTGCATTGTGAGCCCGGATTACAACTCCCCGTGTACCCCTCAGCTGCCTGTGGCTGACAGCACTTGGGTTTGTTCATTTATGTTGAAAACCGCTTATGTCGACAAAATCTGCTGAGTCCCTGCGATGACAACATAATTGGGTAGGACCGTAGCAACCTTCTAGCCCCACTGAAGAAATGCAACAACAACCAATTACATTTGTATAGTGCCTTTCACACTTTATTGCAGAAATCAGTTTGCCAAATCGAGGTTTTTTTAAAAAGTTGTAGTTAATTGTTTAAACTGACTAAATGAAAAGCACAGCAAACTTCCTGAATCAGTTCTTTGAGAATAAGACACATTTTATTGGCACTTTATGTATTTTACTGGGCTCCGTCTATAAAAAGGAATAGGTCAACTTCCTACTTTTCATTTCTAAACAGATCATACTTTCAAGATCTAACGGAGATATTGAATCTAATGAAAAATAGACATGCTTTAAAAGCTCTACTTGGCTATGGTGCCTGTTATACTAATTTGAAAAGGGACCTAAAAGATTTGGTGGAAGTTAACTAACCTAAGTGCTTAACCCAGTTATCTGATGTACTTATGAGCATGCTTTTAAAATGTAAAGTTTAATGATGTGAATTAAACACCCTCAATTTGGAGAAAATTGGAAAAGCTGATAAGTTCCCATATTTACTAACTAAAATTTGAAACTGGTGAGTGTGTATGGTGTGCTTAATGGTCTAATTTCACACATTCTTCAGAGCTTTATGAAAGTTTCAGGTTTTTCTTTGCTGCTGCTAACATGAAAGGAAATCCACGAATGACAATGTGTTTTCATACAGCTGTAACATTGTTCTCTAAGTTAAATAGGAATGTACAGCATTGGAAAAAAATATTGGTGAAGTCCCAAAGTAGTAATATTTCTATGGTACTCTGTCTCTCAAACTTCTGAATCCTTTGCAAAATAGCTATCAACTTCCCTCTTGAATGTGCTGTCACAATTTGCCACCAGCTCCCTGGTTGTCCACAAGATTTGACTTCTTACATAGGAATGAATATACAGGACTGTTGTAGTCCATTTGCCTGGTCCCAGCATTTGAATAGTACAATGTGGTCTTTTATTACTCTTCAGTCATTTTAATCTCTGGCTCCTACTTGAATTTACCAACACTGTTAATCTCCTCTGTCTTCAATGTATTTTTTCCCCACCAGGAAGTGACAGAAGTAAAGGAAATTGATCCAGTCATAGCTGAGGTGCCTTCAGATGCTGTTACCCAGGATCGATACCTGAAACATCCTCTCCAGAATAGGTCAGTCTTTGGCTTCATACAAAGCTACATTTAACTTTTGTATTAGTCTCTGCACAATGATATTTTGAATATCTAATAATAATATAATAATTTGTGTATCTGTGTAGTTTTTGCAAAAACTTATAGCATAATTGACATTTGTGTGTTGTGCTTTAAGCATTCTCAATTCTTCATGAGCAGAACCTCCTGGGACATTGGTAAGTTGGAATTTATGGGTGCAGTCTGGATTTGCAGGATTTACGATGACTGATGAGTTCAAGCAATTGGGTGTTATCTACCTCACCTGGTCTACTGTGAGGGACTGTCGAGAGCCACAGTGGGGGTTGAGTGGAGACTGGGGGTGGACATGGAGACTCACCCATTGCAAGTCCTGCCCTTGTTTCGATGCCAACTGTGTGCTCAGTTTACTCTCCATTGCACCTTTTTCTGAGGGAAAATCATATTGTTGGAATAGTCCAAGGCTTGGACATTCAGATCAGTCAGAAGGGTGGATGCTGACTCAGGTGCAATAGTTAATAATGCTTGGCATTGGCGTTTGATTTTATAATTGAATTTTCTAGATTGGTCATACAGTATAAGTGCATATTCCTAAAAGTGCCATGCTTGCAATATATAAATTGTTATGACTTTGTATTGTGTGCTGTACTTTTTGATCTTTTTCTTCTTTTACCATGTGTGCTAAAGTATAAGAGTTTGTATCAGGTGAATTTATCATTCATACCTTTTACTGGCTGAGAGCACAGTCTTTTGAATTAACTATATATATTTCACAAAATACAGTAAATTCACTACAGTATATTCTGCGAAGCGCTTTGAGATGTCTAGAAGATATCTAGACATATATCAAACGCAAGGATTATTATTTATTTACCCAAGTGGAGGGCTTTTTGCACAGGAATTTTTTTGTGCGTTAACTCTAGTCACAGTAAAATTTGCATGAGTCTTTATAAATCATATAATTGTAAACGCACCTGAGTCCCATCGAGTTTCCTCTCAAAACCACTTAAATTTCTTTACACTAGTCGTGTTAATCACCTCTTAACTCGTAACGCTGCCCCCATACCCTCCATTACTCCCGCACTTAATGGCTACAATAAATGGTGTATACGCAGTGCAAATTATTGATTAAATCGGATTTTGTACGACTTCTGAAGTTTGCCTGCAACTCAGACTTTGTGTAAATCACATTAAATGTTAGGTCCCAACTGATGCAATTTATGATTTTCAAGACTGAGGTGGAAAAATATTTGTTAGGTAAGGGTATCAAGGGATATGGGCCAAGGGCGGGTAATTGTTGTTGAGGTACAGATCAGCCATGATCTTATAGAATGGTGGAACAGGCTCGAGGTCCTGAATGGCCTACTGTTCCTATGTGAGATTTATTGTACTGTCTGCTGAGAGGTAACTTACATTTCAGCCTAGTGTCTGTAGTGCAACTGAGGTCTGTGTATTGGTAACATTGAGAGTGTTTGTGCAGAATGGAGCAGTGCTGCAGCACATCAGGTTTGCTCTGTTATGAAATTGCCTCCATTTTGGACCAGCAGGTATCACTGAAGTGGCAGCAATTCAGGGTAAAATAGGAGGTGACATTTACTGAACTGTTGGTATAATTCATAGGTAGCATGAGTTTCATTTGCATCACCATCTGTGTCGCCACACTGCTCTTCAAGCTGCATTGCTTGACATTTCAATGAAAAGCGATGTGGTTTTACCTGGTTAAACTCCAGAAGTCTAGTGTATATCCAACGCACACTCTGGTATCCCCAAACCTTGGCTCTAGCTAACCTGCTACTAATACTCTGGAATTAGGTAAGATAGATGCTTCCCTCCAGTGACAGAGTGCCCATTCCAATAAATATCTTGTTGCTTTGTATACTGGGCATAGAGAATCTCATTACTGGCAAAAGCTTAGTATATAACCCTGGAATATGGAGTGTGGAGCAAATTGAATTGGAACTGGTATTCCACCAGTCTGCCTGTGGACTGCGTTCTTTCAGTACAAGTCTCAATGTATCTAAATTTAGCAATATACAAATGTTGTCCGCTAATTGCAGTCCAGCCTTTTCATATGGTTATGTGTAAAGGAATCTCAGATCAATGACACCAATGATGTATTTATAGCTCATTGGATACATACAAGTGTGGCACACACGCACCTAGCTTTAGGTAAAGGTTAACTAATGCCGAATAGCTGCTGGCAGTTCATGTCTGGAAAACTTGTACAATATTGAATGGAGAAAATACAATTGAATGGAGATTGGAATTGTTAAAAGCGAGTAATTAAATTGCACTGCTGTAATGTGTCGACTGTTTAGTTGTAGAGCTGTTAGCTTCTGCATTCTCTTCACATGGTAAAGAGCCAGAAAATGTGGTACTGAAATTGAGGATGCACAGTGATGACGTAGATTGACATTCAGACTGGATAATGTAGATTGACTTTATGTGTCTGCATTACTGATTGTCGAAGGCAAGCAGCAGCACTCATGTCCAATCATGCTGAGTTGCCTGCTTTTTAAATCACAATCTAGCTCAGTTCTGTAAAGTAGTTCAAAATGGCATTCACATATACTGGTGGAGAGGGCCTGACTGCAATGAATTAACTTTTAAGGGTTGTCTGCTCTGTTACAGGTGGGCTCTATGGTATTTTAAAAATGACAAGACCAAAAGCTGGACAGAAAACTTGCGACTAATTGCCAAATTTGATACTGTTGAAGATTTCTGGGCGTAAGTACTTTTTATTGCTTAAATTTACAGCACTTGGTAAATTATAGGAGAATGCTATAGTGTGGGTTTAAGGGAGTGGACTGAATGTGAATGTTTTCTCAGCTATGTTTTGTGTGTACTGTTAAACACTGAAATGTATGTGACTGTGCTCACTAACCCACTCTGAATATGGGCTGCAACATCCTGGATAAGAGGAGAATGGGAGCCCATCAGGCCAGTGGTGATGGAAGAGGCCAATCATCTGTCCTCTCACCAGCAGAAGATGGACTGAATACAAAGAGAAAGACACAGTGGTGTATATTTTCTAAAATAAAATGCATGAAGGGCAGAACCTCTACCTGGTGTTGGGGGGGTGGGTGGGGGGTGGTATGGCAGCAGAGTTGCAACTCGAAATAGCACAGAACCATGACCTTGATACCTTGAACTGTGCATGCCACCAAAGATTGTAATACTAGTGATCTGATGAGAGGCGGAGCTTTCAGGATGCTTTCCCTGGACAGTTTAAACGCATAGAAAATTGGAATTCCGCTCAGTCACTAAAACAGTTTAATTTTGAAAGAATTGATGGTGGAAGTACTCCCAAGTATGCTTTCACCAATGGTGGTTGATAATTAAAGCTCAGTATTGTGAGCAGGCTGTTTGGTGTGTTTAGTACTGCCGGAGAATAATTGTAAATGTTATATCACTGTAATGTTTTTCTTTCCAGATTATATAATCACATACAGCAACCTAGTAAACTCCTGTTTGGGTGTGACTATTGTTTGTTTAAGGTAAGCAGTCTGTCTTTATTGATTAATGAAATAGATGAATTGTCCTGAGCTGCCTATTGAGGTTGGGGCAGTCTTACTCATGGGCACGTTGTTCCTGGATTATCCACAGCACCAAATGTTGCTCTTGTTTACTTCCAAGTGAGACGTCACAAAGCACTTCACAGAATATATTGTAAAGTGGATTGAGTGTGTTTGGGCAAACACAGCAACCAATTGCACACAGCAGTGTCCCACAAACAGTTGCGGCACCCCATCCCCCAGGGGAGTGAGTTCAAGATCCTTGTTCTCCCCTGTAATTCAATCCATGCTCTTGCCCCCACCCTGCACATAGCTCTGGGACTCCTCAAGCCCTACCGACCCATCCGCTCCCTTCGCTCAGGAGGCATCAGACTGCTTTGTTTCTCCATTTTACCTGCCTCACCATTGTAGTTTAATAGAAATGTTAATTACAGTATTTGAAGAAGGGTCATTTGAGTGAAAAGATCTGTAGCTTGATTTTCTGAGCATTACTGTTGTAATTTTGCAGGAATATGGGTTATGTACCACTTTGAAAATTACAGTAGCACCCAGTAGTCACAAATTCTTGACCATGCCTTTGGTCATCTTCCCTCCTCCACCTTCTTTTGCTCTCCATCTCTCTCTGATCCCAACCCCCAGCTCAGGTGCAAACCCCTCATTGGCCCGGGCCTCCCAACTTGAAAGGTGCTAGATAAATGCAATTTGTTGTTGTTGAATCAAGTAGCCGAATTAAATAACCAAACACTGGCTTGAGCTGCCGGTTTAAATGTGCACTTGGGGACATTTCTGTCTGGTTACAGTGTGCAGAATTAAAGCTTTTCCCTGAAATTTCCAAACCACTTTACTTACAGGGCCTCAGCCTTGTTGTAGATCTGTAGATATGCGATTACCCAGTATATGAATATGTGGCACTCTGCTATATTGGTTAGTTATACAGCAGATACTGAGGACGAAAGTGAGCTATTTGGTAAATTAAGGTGTTAAATTGTAAGGATTTTAAAATTAAAGTGGATTGGACTAGCTTCAGCCTGTGGTGACTCCTGTAGGATTTTTAGCACCTTGGGACGTCCTCCCGACATGAAAGGCGCTATACAAATGCAATCTTGTTTTTGTTGTTGAAATGCTGAGGTGGGGCTTGAGTCTCCAGTGCGATACTGTTGGCTTTTAACAGCTTCTATGTTGCTGGGGTTTGCTATTCTCTACCTCCTCCCCCCACCAAAACAAAAGCTTGATGTCAAAATAACCGTCAGTAAATACGTCCGCACCTTGCATTCATTTTGTGGAGTCCTGTAGCTCAGTGGTTAGAGCACTCGCCTTGCAAGTGAGACACCTGTGTTCAATTCCAGGCAGGGCGAAACCTTGGGCAAGTTTCCTTACTCCACACACCTAATAATAATCCCTCCAAAAATAAAACATAAATTAATTGGTCATTTTCAATCCACGACTGTCTGTGGTTCACTGCTGTGTGCAATTGGCTGCCGCATTTCGCCCACAAATATAAGGCCAATTCACTTTACAGTCTATTCTGTGAAGCGCTTTGAGACGTCGAGAAGATGTGAAAAGCACTATATCAAATGCAAGAATTATTATTATTATTTTTGTGAGTGCAATTCAACCACTGATCTGATAGCGCGAGAGCCCCTCTAAAAATAATTGGATCCCTGTATTTCATAACCTGTTCATAGCACAGGTGGAGAGCATTTGGTTCAGTGCTAATGCTACCTCCTCCACTGGTGGTATCTCCTATAATTCCATCCTGCTGGCACTTTTTATAAATTTACCTTTCAATGTTATTTGTCTAATTCCTTTTTAAATGTTATGGCTTGTGTATCTGTGTGTGCATGTGTGCAATCTAGTTTCAGGGAAAGTTTTTGGGAAAGTAGCAACTCGTCTGGATATTCATTGATTTGGTAATTTTACAGGATGGTATTAAACCCATGTGGGAAGATGACAAAAATAAGAAAGGAGGAAGATGGCTAATGACACTTACCAAACAACAGAGGCATAATGACCTGGACAGATACTGGCTGGAGACGGTAAGTGATATGTCTTTACCGTGACTTGACATCTTCAGATGCTATAATAATTCTTGTATTTGAATTAATTTGTAAATAGATGCTGACTAAGTTATACCTTTCGATGTTTTCCTTCCCCATTCCTCTGCTCGTCCCCTCTGCTTGGCAAACTGACCTGCTGCACATTCTCTACCTTTCAGGGCCACGCTTTCAGTTTCTATGTCCCTAACCGTTGGAAATCCTTTCCTGTGCCCCTCCATCTTGTCTCTGCTCTATCTGTTATTGCCTAAAATCCTATCTCTTTGACAGCACCAATGGCCACCTCCCCTTCTGCCTTGCTTGGTGATTGCTATTGATCTGCAGAGCAGAGAAATCAGAAGTAAACTTCCTACAGACATTGGAGGGCAAATATTTACTTTGCTTTGTGTGTAACCCATGAAGTAAGGAAATGATTATAGGAACAGAAGAAGGCCATTCAGCCAGTTCTACCAGAACAGGAGTTGGTGACTAGATATTTTTTGTTCAGCCAGGGTCTGATACATGTGGAAACCCATCACCATGCTTAAAAGTATCCAAACTAAATTGAGAATTCCATGCATCCCACCTACACATGGAAATCCCAGAGATAGATTGTTGGACTGTTATGCGCACTCTCCCTGGAGGGACACATCCTGCTTATCTAATTCCAGAATGTATTAGGTGCAGGTTGGCAAGAGCCAGGGGTTGGAAACCCCCGAGTCTGCATTGAGGTACTACTGGAGTCTTAACCGTTGATATTGCTCTCTGGCAAGCTTTCCCACTGCTTGTCCAAGTAGGACCTCCCTACCATTTAAGGCAGGGTTAACAGGATCTGAATGGGATGATTCCTGTGAGTTTGTGACTCAAGGTCTTCAATTATGTAGTTTATTAGCTCACAGCAGATCTTTTAAACCCATTTTCAGCCTTTTACCCATGCTCCTTAATACACTTGCTTCATTCTACGGTTACCCATTTCCTTTTCAAACATCCCAATGAAGTACTAAATGAAGAATTCCCATTCCTCACTGGGTTCACAAAATAAATAATCCTTTATAAACAGAAACTCAGATTTTCTGACCATTTTATAATAATAATAATCCTTATAATAATAATAATTATTATTATTATTTTGTCTTGTGTCGGTGTGTTTTGGTGTATTAAGGTGTTGCTGGATGTCTTTCTGTTCTGTAACGGGTGTCTTGCTATCCCATATACCAGCTTCTATGTCTGATTGGAGAGGCATTTGATGAGCACAGTGACGAGGTGTGTGGAGCAGTTGTAAATGTGAGGCCAAAAGGTGACAAAATATCAATCTGGACAGGAAACTGCCAAAGCAGAGAAGCAGTCACTTCTATAGGGTAAGTCTTCTTCCAAAGCACAGATGTGTGTCATTGCTGATAGTAAAGCTTGGTTCAGTGTATGAACTTGTACTCTGACTGTCAAGATAAATGTTGGATTAAATACGGATTTTTACATTTTAATCTTTCCTGCAACAAATGGGAACTCAGTAGTTTTCACAAAGCCCTCAGAGCTCTATCAGTAAATGTGTGAAGGTCACTAATGTGAGGGTGAAGTCTGTTCACATTTTTCAAGGTTTAGTTTTAGACCCTGTCCCGGTCTTCTGTAATTCATTTTGGAGTGAATTATAATTTGGCAGGTACACAGGGGAAAGACAGAATACTTGCTCAGGCTAAAGTGCATGGCAGCTGCACAGTTTTGTCCGATTTTTGCAATACAAATTTACATTTCTGTAACAGTACTGGCTTGGCACCCGAGCTGGGGGTGGGAGCCAAGGGGGTTGGGGCCTATGGTTGCCTTCCCTCTGTCCCCTGCTTGGCGTTGAGCTCCGCCACTGTTAAGCGCGTGTCATGTCACTGTTAAGTGTATGTCACTCGTTGTTACTCCAAGGCTGAACTTTACATTTTAAACGGTGGGTGGGTGCAAAATAATTCATTCCCCATAATACACTGGCTTATCAGAGAGACTGGATTCACAGGGTAAATACCAGATGTGAATATTGGGGCTGAAATGCAGTTCGATATCCTAACAATTCAAACATTGTATTTTACAGGCAATCATACAAAGAACGCTTAGGACTTCCTATGAAAGCTCTTATTGGTTACCAGTCACACGATGACACCTCTAGCAAAAGTGGGTCCACAACGAAAAACCTGTACACCGTCTAAAGAAACTGTTTCCATTGCAGCATTTCACAGAGGAACTAAACTTAATTCAGCTACCTGGGGAAACAGCTACTTATTAAATTATCGGGTCTACGTCACAACACGAAACTCGCGGCAAGAAGAGGCAATGAATGGGTTGAATCGGAAATATTCCGGGATAATCGTGCGGGCTGATCACATTCAGTTTACATTGGCAGATCAAATGAGGATGCAAATGGGCCTTCCTTCATCAGGTGTATTGGAGATTTTTCTTGTTAATTTGTAGGGCTCAAATTTAACATTAGGCAGCAAGCAAAATGCTAGTAAGTTTTTTTTTCTTTTTTTTTGGTTTTGGTAGTCCGTTCTAATCACCAGCAATAGTTGGCTATTAACCTGGTGTCTCTCAGATGTATGCTACTATATACTCGTGCTTCAGGATGGGAGAAAGAAAATGAAAAGGGCAAGATCCAATTATTTACATTAGTATTTTGGCAATTTAAACTTCACAGTTCTTTCTCCCTCCGTTAATCGATTGTGCTCCCACCTTTCCACGGAGAGAGATTGTGTTTTGCTTTTGTAAGAGTGGAAACTGCAATTGTTTAGTCCAGGGCTCAAAATAATAGCACCTCCATTCACACGTTCTGATGGAAGTCACCCTATAAGACGGGTGTTGCTGCTTTCTACGCTCAAGCTGCGGGTAAATGATTTATTTTCCTTGCAGGAGCTGTTTACTGCTGAGGCCTCCTTTGTTAGGGAGAATAGACACAGTATGCATTGTAGGTGGTGGGTGTTGGGGGCAGATGGTGTGCGATTACAATAGGTGAGATTGCTTTTCTGGTCCTTTCTTACCCCCCCAATCTGAACCTGCTCAGCTCAACAGAGATTTGAGGTTGTATGTTGCAGAGCACTTTGTTAATCCCACCAAGTGGATTTGAGCGACCCAAGAGATCTGGAACCAAGCCACTCAAAAAAGAGAATTTACTAATTGGTGGCGGTGTTTGTGTAGCTGTGTTAAAATTATTTTGAGCCCTGTAGTAACCAGTGCAGACAGTAGAGATAAAGTCAAACCTCTGCAGTAGATATCAAATGGGCAGGATTCTAAATGTATTAAACAAACCATTTCAGTTGGGAGCTGGTCCAAATAATTTCACTACAACTGGAAAAACTGGGGATGATTTGGGGTTTTGTGTGTGTGTATGCACACGTGTGTGTCTCACTCTTGTTTGAACCAACCTTTTAAATTTGACCCTTGCAGCACCACATGGCTGTCGTACTTGTTTGTATGCAATCTCTCTCTGGGGCGGGGGGGTGGGGGTTGCAGATTCGATGTGACTTCTCTGGTGTGGGCCTGTCAGTCTTCAGTTTCTCAGCTGTTAGTAGGGTGTAAAAATCATGGTTTTCAGCTGATTGGGGGGGTGGGAAAGGGTTTTTAAAAATGGCACTCCTGCTTTCAAAATAGATGGTTGGAGCAGGGAGACGGAAGGGAAGGGAGGTGGTGGTTTTTAAAGGTAGAAAATAATAATAAATTAATATTTTAATAAAGTGCAGAGAAGAAATAAGGATGGGTGGGGCAGGCACACGTGGGTAGTTTTCAGAATGATTTATATATTAGTTTTTTTGTATTTATTTGAGTTTATAGTTAAGTAGTACAGTGATGAATTTAGTCCTCACGTGCGAATAGCTTTCTTACTGAAATATTTCCTCCAGTGTACACTAAAAAGCTGCAGAACCAGTCGCCACACAGAAATCAACCAGGCTTCCGTACACCTGCCAGCAGACAGAGTTAACTTTAGAAACTGAAATGAATTCTGTGGGGGACAGCAAGTTGAGTTTTTTAAAAAAAATATATATATACAGTATATATGAGTAGTTTTGTTTCCCTACAATTAACACCACTCACCCGATTGTCTGGATGAATAGCCATGATGATTTGCTCTCGAGTCCCACCTTAAGTTTAGTTACTGCATTTTGAGATGATTTTTGTTCGCATGTGAACTATTCAATGGAAAACATTATTTTCTTCAAGTATTTAATGTTTAAGCATTGCTGTGAATTTACTTTTGAGCATTCAAAGGATGGTGAAACCAATATGCTTATTTTGAGGTACAGTATATTGATCGGATTTGTATGCCTTTTCACAATAGAGGAAATTTAAACTAGACAATTAAGGATACTGCATTATTATATGCAGGAAACATGGGTGAGTGTTTTTAAAATGCCTTCATCTGTATTTTTCTCATTTGGTATTGTTGCATTGTATGGACCCTATTGATAACTCGGTAATAAATGCTAATATTCAAAGTATTTGTGAATTATTTTGCTAATGTAACTGTATTGCATAGATTGGTTATGTATTCCAGGTATATATTAAATCTTTAATTACACTGATAATTGATTTTTCCAATTTACAAATATATTTCTGTTGGAGATTACCTTTTTCTTGATTTGTCTACGAATGACTGAATGTTTTTAAATCATGTGCCATAGTCTGCCATCAACATAGTGTGAGTTAAGTTTCATTAAAAAAAACTTCTTGCTGCTTGCGAGAAGTATAAGGCTGGAGTTTATTTGCCACTTGAAGTTTATTTACCACTTGAACTCTGAATATAAAAGTACTTACACCCATTGGTTAGGTTTACTCATTCAGTGGACTTTGTGTCAACCAAGACTATGGATCGGCCATATTGATTTATCGGGTGTTACTACAGTCACTACAATTGTCCTTGATACCATGGAGTGGACGGGGTACAGCCACCCAGGTTTTCAGTTCCAATTGCAATCCAATTTCCTGCTGGAAATAATAATAATTCTTGCATTTGATATAGTGCATTATCATGTTGCTAAGACTTCTTAAAAGGCTTCACAATATATACTGTAAAGTGGATTGACTGTTTATTTTGTGGGGAAAGTGAGCGTAGGAAAGTGGCAGGTTCAGACAGAATCGGACTTGGGTTAATACCCCTTTGGCTGACTGTCTATTCTAATACATGACTAACGCTGGGGATGGAGTGGGTCAGTGTCAGTCAAAACCATCGCCCAGCAGGAAATTATTAAGCAAAAAGGGGAATTGCATTTAATTATAAAAATTACTTTTGTATCGCTCAGAATGATATCGTTCCAAACCCAAATGTGCTCCCCTTTACACGAGTTGCATTAAGTCTCAGTTTCATGTTTTCTCATGAACCGAGCACGCAACTCGTTAGGAAAGACTGAAGGGAAGCAAAGTGTGGGCAGAGAGAATAAGAAAGCTCTTACTATTCCTGATCAGTAAGTTAACATTAGTCTTTTTCCATTGTTGGTGTCTCAGTAAGAAGTACTATTGTTGGAAAAGCAGTGTATTAATATAACTTAGACAGTGTGCAAATAAGTCTCTTTATAACCCGTTAATTCACATCCAAAAGTGATAATTTGAAGTGATAACTCTAGTCGTGTTGCATCTCTTTTTGAGAAGTTTTAAATAGAGATTAAATAATCACAAAATAGTGTTTATAGCTGCTGTGTCTCCAGCTCTGCAGTACATAGAAGTATAAGTAATTAGTCCTTTGTTGACTTCTATTCACTGCAGGGCTGTATAGGGAAAGAAGAATGTAAAGTATAGAAATAATACTTGCATTTGAGAATGTCTTATCACATCTTCGAGACATCTCATCCGAGCTAGAGATAATATATAATAATAATCCTTGCACATGATTTATCACATCATTGAGACGTCTCAAAGTGCTTCGGAGAATATAAAATACAGTCAATGTGAATTGACTATTTTGTAGGGCGAAAATAGATGCAGCTAATTTGGGCCCAGCAGTGACCCACAATCAGCCGTGAAGCGTGTGACCAATTTTTATTGGTGGGGTGGGAGAAGGATTGTCGGTCAGGAAGCCGGAAGAAACTCCCTTCTCTTTACTGATGAAAAGACATGCAGTCCAGTCTTCTTTCCATCCCTGCCTAACCCTGCAGTTGCAGTCTTACAGAGGAGGCTACATGTCAGCTTGGGTCACTTGGAGTACTCTTACCCATGGGTTATAAAGTTGTGTATTCAAGTCCAAATCAGACTTATGTATTCAGCTGACTAGGCTGAAACTCAGTATGGTATCGCGGGAATACTATTTTCAGAGGTGCCATTCTTTGAATAAGACATTAAAGCAAGGTTTTTCCTACCTGTGTGAGTAGATATTAACAGTACCATAAGATTATTTGAAAGAAGGGAAATTAATTGTTCATTCACCTCATGGCTGTTTGTGGGACTTTGCTAAACTCAAATTGACTGCTGCTTTTGCCCACAAAAATACTCGGATTGATTCCAGGTTTTGGGGCTATGGAGATACATAGTTTGCTGAGTGGAGGTTTCCTTTGAAGATCCAGGTCTTCAAATTGCTGTGAGGCAAAGTGTAGATGTAAATAGGATATTTGGCTTGGGGTATGAGCGGAAATCTAGGCCATGTGTTTAAAATGAACAAATTGAGAATTAAACTAGAAGGTACTTCATCGCACAGCAGTGGAACAAATTCTGAACAAAAGACCCTGTCAATTAACATCTTTTAAAAACACTGGATTGAGAACAGCTGTGAAGTTCCAGAGTTAGCTGGAGACCAATTGATGATAAATGATCTATGATGGATTCACTGGTAGTGGTCTGGTGGCTTGCATTGCCCTCTCCTTCCCCATTTTCAGATCACGCTTGAAGACCATCCTTATAGTCCCCAACCCCCTGGCTCGGCATCAGACTCCGCAACTGTTAAGCACTCAGACACTACCCTACTTGAGGGGAGCTATATAAATGCAAGCTGTTGTCTGGGGGTGTGTGGGCAGGAGAGAATCAGTGAGATCAATAGATTTTCAAAGAGAAAAATTGCATTTTTACAATGCCTGGAATGATGCAACGCAACCTTGTAATTACCGTCACATATAGTGATCATTTGTGACTTTTTTGGAAGACAAATGCAGCAGCCACTTGGCACACAGCTATGTCCTACAAACTGCTGTGGTGTGATATTTTTCTTTAACTACCTTTGGTCTTTGCAAAAATCTTCCCCCAGAAGAGAGGTTGGTCGCGTGAACCAGGTAATGGGCTGCATTAATGTGGACTGTAGAAGAAGCGGCTTTGAATGGACATTTGTTGCTTTTGCTTCCCCTTCAATGTTTAAGACGAGACTAAGAATTTAAAAGGGACGGCCACTTAAAGTGATCGGCTCCATTCAGGATGTGTGCTGCCGCCTGGTGGCGGACACTGAGTCTGTCTGAGCAAATGAGACCCAAAAGCAAAATGTAACCCCGTAAGTGAGATGGAGAGGACGGAGTCAATCCACTGCAGATAAATCAGCCCCTGCCATTTTTCGTAGATAGACTATGTTCAGGTGACTTATTTTCGCAGAACTTACTGCTGTCAGCACTTTAAAGCTAAGTACAGTTTTCCATCTGTATTTTCTTAAATACCTGCTAACTTCTAGTGAAGTTCTGTGTATTGGTTAGAACATTCGCCTCAAATGCAAGAGGACCTGGATTTGATTCCCAGAATATTCTCTCCATGTGGAGACACAGGAGTGGACTCCTTCTAAAAACAGCAGCTGGAAGCTGTGGACACTTTGCACAAGAGAGCTCAAAAATAATTATTTTTACTTGAAGTATTCAGATAAATGAATTGTGAAATGGGAGACCAAAGGTGTTGTCACAAACAGCTGGGAATCACAAGCAGATTAGAAGCAGAAGGTGCTTGCTGGATTGCAGCAATTGAAACTTTTGCCCAAAGCAGGCGATTTAATGGATCTAACAGCTAAACTCGCATCAGCTGCACTGACACCTGGATTTTTCCAGAAACCAGGAGTCAGCCTGGCTAAGTTGATTGCACTCTTGCCTCGGAGTCGGTAGGTTGTGGGTTCAAGCTCCACATCAGGACGTTTTTCAGAAAAATGGTAGGACAAATGTGTTAGCAATAATTCCCAGTTCTTGCAGCTAAATTGCAGAATGTGGTAATTCCTTTTAACCTAATGCTTCATTGCAGCTGGTCTGCAGATCAGTTTGTTGCTGTGTTCAGCGATTGGTTGATTGATATCTGTGTTCTCTTCCAAGCTCATTGCACCTTCATTGCTGTGTGATCTAGAAGATAACTGGTTGCATTAATTTGTAAGATCTATATTCGTGCCCCACACAGTACAGGTTAATGTGCATGCTTCCCTCAAAACCTGACCCTAAACCACCAGTCCCACTTGGAGCTGCCCCATATACGCAAGCTAAATGTTTCATCAGATCACAATTTGATTGAAAGCCAAAGGCAGCTGCCAAACATCTGCTCCCCAGCTCTGGGCTTGCCAAGTGCATCAGTGTGTCACCACACTGATACATGGAAATACTGTAGTTAAGAGTTTACATTAAAACCCTGACTGTACAACGCCAACAAAGTCCTCCCGACGTGAAAGGTACTATACAAATGTAATTTGTATAGTATTATGCACTCGGCCACGGGATTTTTTTTTTTGCTTCTTCACTCCTGTGACCATATAACACTTTTGAGGTTTGTATGTTGAGTGAAACCCTGTCTGGACACTCTTAAGCAGTGATGGGCTTCTGCATGTCTGTCTGACTAAAATACTTTTTTATGGAGTGTTGAATGGAAGAGATGGTCAAACCCAGGAGGCTGTCACACTTTTTCTACTTTCTACTTCCTCTGAGCTGCAGATGGTTCTGGTTGTCAGATATCAGATGTTGCTGGGCTTCATTGGGATATATTCCAAGTTTATGAAGTCCTGCAGCTCAGTGGTTAGAGCTCTCGTCTTTGCAAGCGAAAGGGCTCTGGGTTCCATTCCCAGGCAGGACAAAACCTTTGGCAAGTTTCCTTACTCCACATACCTCTGTTTACCTAGCAGCAAGTAGGAACCCGGTTGTTATTTGTTTGGCGGATCGTTTTTTGGTGGGTAATAATCCCTCCAAAATAATAATAATTTGGTCATTCAATCCACGACTGTTTGTGGGACACTCCTGGCGCAATTGGTTGCCGCGTTTCGTCCACAAAATACACAGTCACTTCACTTTACCGTATATTGTGTGAAGCGCTTTGAGACGTCTCGAAGACGTGATAAGGGGCTATATCAAATGGAAGGATTATTATTATTTATCATCAGCTCTTGTGCCATGGTTGGTGCATGAGTCAAGTCAGTGAGCGTTGGCGGACTGTTGGGGACAGCTGATCTGATCACAGCTGAATCTTATCAAGACCCCCAATTGTATCCTTTACAGCTGCCCATGATGGGGTGGGGGGATATGATGGGGGGGGGGTGACATCTTCACTCCTGTGGATCTAAACTCCTCAACCTCCCTGGGCTCTCCCTCACTCACCGAACCAGTGCATAATCTTGGCGTCTTGGGGTTCAATCCCCAGCTGTTCTTCCTCCCCCACATCCGGTCCCTGACCAGGAACGCCTTCTTCCCGAAACTCTGGAACACTCTCCCTCAATCCCGCTCCTTGCCCCCTCTCCCTCAATAATAATAATAATTCTTGAATTTGATATAGCACGTTTCATGTCTTCTCGACGTCTCAAAAGCTTCACAGAATATACTGTAAAGTGAATTGACTGCATTTTTGTGGGTGAAACGCGGCAGCCAATTGCGCACAGCAGTGTCCCACAAACGGGGTGGGGGGGTGACGGTGTGGGGTGTTAACAGTGGGGTGTGAGGGGGTGATAGTGTGGGGGTGGTGACAGTGGGGGGGGTGACAGTGGGGGGGGTGTGACGGGGTGGTGACAGTGTGTGGGGGGGGTGACAGTGGGGGGGTGTGACGGGGTGGGGGGTGGTGACAGTGTGTGGGGAGGGTGACAGTGTGTGGGGGAGGTGACAATGGGGGGTGGGGTGTGACAGTGTGTGGGGTGACAGTGGGGCGTGGGGGTGACAGTGGGGGGGTGGAGGGCGACAGTGTGTGGGGGGGGTGACAGTGGGGGGTGGGGGGCAACAGTGGGGGGGTGGGGGGTGACAGTGGGGGGGTGACACTGTGTTTGGGGGGTGCCAGTGGGGGGTGGGGGTGACATTGGGGGTGGGGGGTGACAGTGGGGGGTGGGGGGCGACAGTGTGGGGGTGACAGTGTGTGGGGTGACAGTGTGTGGGGTGACAGTGGCGGGTGGGGGTGACAGGGGGGGGGTGGAGGGCGACAGTGTGTGTGGGGGGTGACAGTGGGGGGTGGGGGGTGACAGTGGGGGGGTGACACTGTGTGTGGGGGTGACAGTGGGGGGGTGACACTGTGTGTGGGTTGACAGTGGGGGGGTGGGGGTGACAGTGGGGGGTGTGGGGTGACAGTGGGGGTGTGGGGTGACAGTGGGGGGTGGAGGGTGACAGTGGGGGGTGGGGGGTGACAGTGTGTGTGTGGGGTGACAGTGGGGGGTGGAGGGTGACAGTGTGTGTGTGGGGTGACAGTGGGGGGTGTGGGGTGACAGTGGGGGGTGTGGGGTGACAGTGGGTGGTGGGGTGACAGTGGGGGGTGGAGGGCGACAGTGTGTGTGGGGGGTGACAGTGGGGGGTGGGGGTGACAGTGGGGGGGTGGAGGGCGACAGTGTGTGGGGGGGGGGTGACAGTGGGGGGTGGGGGGTGACAGTGGGGGGTGACACTGTGTGTGGGGGGTGACAGTGGGGGGTGGGAGGCGACAGTGTGGGGGGTGACAGTGTGTGGGGTGACAGTGGGGGGTGTGGGGTGACAGTGGGGGGTGACACTGTGTGTGTGGGGTGACAGTGTGGGGAGTGACGGTGGGGGTGACAGTGGGGGGTGTGGGGTGACAGTGTGGGGGGTGACAGTGTGGGGGGTGACAGTGTGGGGGGTGACAGTGTGGGGGGTGACAGTGGGGGGGGTGGGGTGACAGTGTGTGTGTGGGGTGACAGTGTGTGTGTGGGGTGACAGTGAGGGGTGGGGGGTGACAGTGGGGGGTTGGGGGTGACGGGGTGGGAGGCGCTCACTTTGGGAGATACTGCGCACGCGTCGACTTCACCCCGAGTGACGTCAGGATTTTTCAAACCCGGCGGCCGCGCGCGCCCTGTGGGGTTTGGGACGAAATGATCGAATGAGGGACCAACCGCCACCGCCACCGCCCCGGAGGCCGCGCCATGTACCGACTGAAGCGCAGGCGGGTAAGCGGCGGCCCCTCGGCCACGGCAGGTTTGGGGCTCTGTCCTCCCCCTCTCTCTCTCCTCCCTCCTCCCTCCCTCTCTCTCCCGCCATTGACCCGCTGTGTTCCCGCCCGCAGGGGGAGCCGGCGACCGGGCAGAGCAGCATCGACGCCTTCTTCGACCAGGTCCAGGTGAGCGGCCAATAAATACCAATAACAATAGTAATAATAGTAATAATAATAACCCTTATGTTCGGGTACATTCAGGGCCCTGTTGTCTGGGACGTTGTTCACCACCACCACCACCACCACCTGGGGTTTGCGCGGCGCCCCCCAGCGCTTAACAGTGGACCCGCTCAGGGTCACCCACCGCCACAACAACAACAACAACAACAAGATTTCATTTATAGAGCGCCTTTCACGTCGGGAGGACGTCCCGAGGCGCTGGACATTTTGAGTCGGGACCCGAGCATTGGTGGTGGGGGGGTGGGGTGGGGGGGAATGGTCAGGGTGAGGGGAGGGGGAGGGAGGGAGCGAGGAGGGGGGAGAGAGTCGAGAGAGGAGCTGAAGGCACGGACGGTCAAAGAGAAAGGTTTTGAGACCGGCCTTGAAGGAGGAGAGGGAGGAGGCGGCGAAGGCACTGGGGGATGGAGTTCCAGGCCTCGGGGCTGAGAGGCTGAAGGCCCGGCCACCGATGGTAGGGCGGTTGGGGTGGGGGACGTGGAGCAGACCGGAGCCAGAGGAACGGAGGGTACGGGCAGGTAGGTAGGGGGATAGTAGGTCAGAGAGGTAGGAGAGAGCGAGGCCGTGAATGGCCTTATAGGTGAGGATGAGGATCTTGAATTCGATCCTCTGGGGGATGGGGAGCCAGTGGAGGCGAGCGAGGGTGGGTGTGATGTGGTCCCGAAGCCTGGTGCGGGACAGTACACGAGCTGCAGAGTTCTGAATGACCTGCAGCTTGTGGAGGGAGGTGGCGGGAAGGCCGGCGAGGAGAGAGTTCCCATAGTCCAGCCTTGAGGTGATAAAGGCGTGGACCGGAGTTTCAGCAGCAACAACAGCAACTTGGATTTATACAGCGCCCTCTGCGCCGGACGGCGTCTCAGAGCGCTTCACGGTAACGGATCCCGGGGCCGGGGCGGGGGGGGGGGGAGGAGGAGGGGAGGAAGGTAACCGAAGGCGCGATCGAAAAGAAAGGTCTTCAGCAGAGACCCGAAAATAGGGAGGGAGGAAGTGAGGGAGGGAGACGAAGGGAGTGAGCAAGGCAGGTTGTTGAATGTTATATATAAAAAAAATTATGCTTTTTTTTCACACACACACACACCCTTTATTTGTTGCCGGCGACCGTCAACCACCGCCTACGGTGTAAGATTTAACGAAACGCAAAACGGCGTTAAAAAAAAATTTGCCTCGCGCAATCGGCTGCCGCGTTTCGCCGACAAAATCAATTCACTTTACAGTGCGTTTCTGTGAAAAGCTCTGAGTCGTTGTGACGAACGTGGTAAAGCGCTACATCAAACGCAAGTATTATTGTTATAAAAAGGGCAGGAAATGTTACAAACCCAGTGCTGATCGACTGTTCGTGCACTTATTACCCGTGTGACGGTTTGAAACAGACACTAATGGGTGGAATTTGACAACTGTGCAGCCGCCAAAGAATGGCAAACACAAAGAGGTACTAATAATCCTTGCATTTGGATTCGAGACATCTCAAAACACTTCACAGAATACACTGTGAAGTGGTAAAGCTGTTTAAAAATTTATAATGTATGAAATGAAATTCCTCTTATTTCGGTACTCAATTATTCTGGCAATTATCAATTATTCTAGTACAACAGAAAACATACCACAAATACACAAATGATTTTATAAACTTGAATAAACTAGGATTTGAAATATTTTGATGATCTTCCCTTAAATAAGCGGGAAATATATTTTTTTCGTGCAGAAGCCGCAGAAACTTTTTACAGAAATTGGCCATGCAATGAGAGCTGCTGATCAAAGCAAGCGGAGCAGTCAGGATGCCGCAGTGACCATTAGTATCTTAGACAGCGGTGATGAGGAAGAAGATTTAATAAAATCAGCAATTCTAGAATCTGCGGTCACAGAGATTGTCCCTGAATCTCCAGTCATCCTGGGTGATGTGTACTCTGTTCCTGAAACACCAGAACACAAAATCGAGGCACGTCTCAAATTACTGGAGCCCAATGTGATGAGTACTCCCATGTCCTGTAACTCCCGTTTTCGGATAAACCGATCGAAGGAAAATGCTGGAGTTAAAGTTGCTCTTTTTCCCACCATTTTAAATTCTGAGAATGTGGACCAAGTGCAGAGAAACTGCAGTCTTCACAAAGCTGCGCAGAGGACTCGTCATGTTGGAGGTCGCAAGACATTTAGTCCCATTGAATTGTCAGGAAAGAGATTTGCTAACCCGAAAGATATGCCCAAACCTAAAAAGTTGAGATCAGCCTCTGTGAGAAAACCAAGTGTCACCGGGGTGCATGATGTGATAGACTCGCCTGGTAGTTTCCTGGATGAATGTCTAATGATTATCAGTCAATCCACCCCAGAGTCAAAGCACTGCAAAACTGTGAATTATAATGTGAATAGCAACCGGCAAAGCATCAAGGAAAAACAACCTGCTACCCAGGTTTCAATGAATTTCTTTCCAACAAGCTGTGCCAAGAAACCTGGGAATCTCCGTGTGACTGCGGTGAGCAAAAAGGAGAACTTCCAATCACTCGTATCAAGAAACCTATTGTTGAAGAATCCCTTCAAGAAAATTGATCCCAAACCAAACACTGCCTCAAAGAATGAACGTCAAGATTCAGTTTTTATTCGGATTGGTCGAGAAAAATACCCTGACACTGACAAAGAGAATGAAACCGATGACTTAATCAGAAACTCTGAGGACGTTGATGATCTATTGAGAGAGTTAAACAAAGCATCAATGGAACTGAATGGAGGTGCAGATGCTGTGAAAATCCCACCTGCCTCTGTGGACCTTTGTAAAGATCCCGGAGAGAAACGTCCATGTGAAGATGTACCGGAGCGTGAAGAAGCCTATGCTAAGCATGTAATGAACGAAGTTAATAAACTGAGACAAGGAACGGAAACAGAATCTTTTCATCTGACTGAGCTGTCACGCATGTCAAGCAACCTCGACATTACCACTGCTGCTGAACAGTCAGATGACCAATGGGAAGAAATGGATGACGGCTGGCTGGAGGAAGTCATGAGCCAAAGCTTTACAAATGTAACAGAAAAGCCATGTTCTTTAAGGTAAACCTGCAATGTTGTCCTAACAAAGTTTGAATATTTTTCTACGGTGGGTTTCCTATTGCTGCTTGAGTCAATGAGGGCAGGAGAAGCAATGCATTGGGGGCAGGGGGGAATTGTGGGTAGCTGTGTTCAGTGCTGAAGTCCCTGCCGTGAGTTATTTACGTTGGCAGTGAATACGGCAATGTTAGGAATGTGATGAGTGGAACCTGAAGCATTATGATGACTTGGCTGAGATCAGTAAACTCAGCACAGACTGAGATCGGACCCATTGAGCTGCTGCCCCGTGTGCTACAGTTCCATTCACTACACCATCCGAGTTTCCCTCGATGGCCAATATTTAACAGCAGTAGAAAAGCTGCTGGAGACAGAATGAAATGAGAAGTAGAGTTGATATAGATGGGATCACACAATTTCTGTTGATCCTTTCTTTGGCTTGTATCTCACATTTGCCTGGCTTCCTGAGCCTGAACAGAGGAACTAATGTTGTATGTAATTTGACGCGTATTGTTCTTTCTGACTTCTTCTGTCTCAGTAAGAAAACGTTTGGTGACAACGCAATTCTCTGCAAGGGAGTGAACAACCGGTACCGGATTGTGACAGTGAACGAAGTCACAAGCCCCAGTGGTTTTCCAGAGAAACATTTAACCATCACGGCGAGCCAGCTGGGTGACAGCACAGAGCAGTGTGTTCTTCAAGATGACTGGTAATAAAAGCACTGCAGAATAACAGCGTCATTCCTTCACACAAATTCTGAATGATTGTATTTAATACTTGAGATGTTTGATGAGATAAGGTGCTGTATCAAATTTATTTATATTTGTTACGACCAGACGAGTGGCAATATTTCAGACTACAGGCTGCTTGATTCTGCAGTGAGTCTCACTGCTTGCTTGGTGGGATGCCTTTACATTATTGTTTGTTTGGCAAGTAATAATAATCCTTGATTTTGAATTGTTTAAAAATTCAATTCTTCACCTCACCCCTCTCTTGCCTCTTTGTCTCCCTGCCCTCCACCTCTCCTGATCCCAACCCCCAGCTCAGGTGCAAATTCTGGGACGTCCTTCCTGCCTGAAAGACTCTATACAACTGTAATTTTTTTTTGATATAGTGCCTTTCCCGTCGGAAAGACAACAACAAATTACATTTGCATAGTGCCTTTCACATCAGGAGGATGGCCCAAGGCGGCGGACGTCTCAAAACACTTCACAAGATGTAGTGACTGTTTTGTAGGCGAACGCAGCACCCAATTTGTGCATAGCATTATCCCACAAACCCATGAAGTGAATGGCTAATTCTATCTGGGGGATTGCTGAACAGGACACTGGGAGAAACTCCTTTCTCTTTTCTGATAATGCGGTGGGATCTTAAATATCTTGAAGATAAAAAAAGATCTTAAAGCAAATGGGACCTTGGTTTAATATCTTGTTTGCAGGGTGGCATCTCTGACAATGCTGCACACCCCTAGCACTGCACTGGTGTGACCTAGACTAAAGTCCAATGTGGGCCTTGAACCCACAGCCTTCTAACTCAAACGCATGAATAATACAACTGATCAAGGCTGGTGAAGAAAGTAAACTAAAGTAAAGATGTGTTTACCTGAAATTGGCACAGAGATTGCACAGCAGCACTGGATTCACACTCCAGTCATGCTCTAGTCCTGCTGTCCAGTTTCCAAAACGCACAATGGGTTAGTATATTAATATTTAACATATTCAAGACTGAGAGCGATAGATTTTTAAAAACTTAAGGGATTTGGGGATAGGGCAGATAAATGGAATTAGGTTAGACGATCAGCCATGATCTTATTAAATGGCGGGGCAGGCTCGAGGGGCCGAATGACCTGCTCCTGTTTCTTATGTACTTGGTGCTTTGTCTTTTGTTGTGTGTGTGTGATGCAGCTGTACAGAAAATGTCTGTTTAGAAAATAATAATTATGTATTTCAGGGAATCCACTGATATCAAACCAGGAGACATTGTTCATGTTGAAGGAGAGAATTTCTCAGGTCCCTGGGTGATAAACAGGGATTGTGGCTACCTGATTTGGAACCCTGACCACCTAATTTCTGGAACCAGCGTAGCAAATAGTATCCGATGCATGCGAAGGGCTGTACTCAGCGAAAGGTTCAAGGTGAGATTTACAAAAAACGATTTAACTGAAGAAAGTATCTCAGAACTAACTGACTCAGGTAATAATACTTGCATTTGATATAGTGCCTTATCATGTCATTGAGACGTCTCAAAGTGAATGGACTATATATTTCTATGCGCAAAACATGGCAGCCAGTTGCGTCCAACAAACAGTCGTGTATTGTTACTATTTGTTTTTGTGTTATGTCCTTGAACATCCTCCATGTAGGATGCAAGTGTCCAATTTTAGATTTCTTATCTTTATCCTTTATAATCTGTTTATTAACATCTGAACTGGGTGCCTTTTAGGAAGAAGGAAAATTCGTAGGAATTACAGCCGAGAAGGAAGCCATTCGGCCCATGCTGTCTCTTTAATTTGGACATGTTGCCTAAATTGTGGAGTCCTGTCGATTGGGGGTTAGTGCACTAGCCTTGTAAACGAGAGGATCTGGGTTTGATTCCTGGGTGGGGAGAAACATTAGGCAAGTTTCCTTTTCTGGGGGTAATTGTACACAGTCAACCTACTTTACAATACATTCTGTGAACCACATTGAGACGCCTCACCGATATTTTGTCCCTCTGTGATCAGGGCTCCCTCTACCTCCTCGTCCTCCTTGACCTTTCTGCTGCTTTCGATACCGTTGACCACTCTATCCTCCTGCACCACCTCACCTCTCACCTCTACCTTAATGGTTCTGCCCTTGAGTGGTTCATATCCTACTCTCACATTGTCTCCACATTGTCTCCAAAATCATTGTTCATCTCCACAAATGGCTGCTCTTCTAGCCCCCGCACCGTCTCATGTGGAGTCCCTCAAGCTCTATCCTTGGTCCCCTCTTTAATATCTACATGCTTGCTCTTGGTGACATCATCTGCAAGCATGGAGTCAACTTCCACATGTATGCGAATGACACCCAATTGTATCTCTGCCTCCACCCTTGACTCCAGGACCACTGCTGTCCTGACAGAATGTCTGTCAGACATCAAGTCCTGGATGAGAGTTAACTTTCTACAGTTGAAGAAGACCGAGGCCCTCCTGATTGGTTCCGGTCTGCTCCTCCACACCTTAGGCACTGACAGCATCACCATCCAAGGATGAACACTCCACCTCACTGAGCCAGACCTTGACATCTTGTTTGACCCTCAGCTGTTCTTTCTACCCTACATCTGTGCCATGACGAGCTCTGCCTTCCCCCATCTCCGCAACATCGCCCAACTCTGCCACTGCCTTATCCCTCAGGCCACCGAAACCCTCATCCATGCATTCATCACATCTAGGCTCGACTACGCCAACTCACTGCTTGTCGGCCTTCCCAACTCTTCCCTCCACAAATTGCAGATCATCCAGAACTCTGCAACTCATGTCTTCTCCCGCACCAGGCTCCGTACCCCATCACCACCATCCTCGCCTGGCTCCACTGGCTCCCCATCCCCAAGAGGATAGAGTTCAAAATCATTGTCCGTGCCTTCAAGACCCTTCACGGTCTTGCCCTTCCCTCCCTCCGTGACCTGCTGACCCCATATCAACATGTCCGCTCCCTCCGCTCAGCAGACTCTGGCCATGATGGGCTCTGCCTTCCCCAACTCCGCAAGATCGCCCGCCTCTGCCTGGGCCACCCCACCATCGGCGGTTGGGCCTTCAGCCTCTCTGCCCCCACCCTATGGAACTCAGTCTCACATTCCCTTCGCTTCGCTCCCTCCCTAGCCTCCTTCAAGACACATCTCAAAACCTTCCTCTTCGACTGAGCCTTTTGCCACCCTCCTACCCTCCCGATCCCCAGCTCAGGTCCAAAAAGTCCAAATCCCTGACTGACCAGCGCCTTGGGACATCCTCCCGACGTGAAAGGCACTATACAAATGTAATTTTGTATTGTATTGTGATAAGGCATTATATCAAATGCAAGATTTATTATTATTTATTATTAAATTCTCTTTCCAATATCAGGTGAAAGCTATGTGCAATGGAATCCACTTTAGCCTGGGTTCAGTTAATTCTTGCTTTAATCTTGTTGAGCACAATTCTGCTTTCTAGAAAGTAGTTTTATACTGTTTTTAATGTTGGCTGTGGGATTTGGTTAGTGTGGTTTTGGCATAAGCTAGTTTGCTCCTTAATATGAGGTTTTTTGGGGGGCATTTAGTGGTGCAGTGAGTCAGTAGTGAGTATGGCAGATTATGCACCTAATTCAATTCATCTGCTTACATGCTCAAATGATGGAGGTTTCTCTGCATGAGAGTTACTGCAGGAAAGCTGAGACTTGCCATCTGGTAGAGTAATGAACCGCTGGTTAGCACGTATCAAAAACATTGTTCCAGTTCTTGATGAACCTCAACAGTTGTTTTTCCTTTTGTTTTGAAGGCCTGTGAAAGAGGAACAAGACAGATGCTGTTTGGCACCTTGGTTCATGAGATCTTCCAGAAAGCAGCAACTAGTCACGGGTTCACAGAGGACGCACTGCAAAAAATTACCTCAAAAACTCTTCGTGCCTTAAAGTACTTAGGAGAGATGTAAGCCCCACTTGGTTCAATGTCTGGTGTTGCGATTAATTGTGGAAATAGCTGAGCAACTAGAAAAGATTGTCGTTTTTATTTCTGCGTGTGAAGGGTGGGAAATGCAGGCAGCATAATACCTGAAGATCTCTGGTACTATCTTGCTCTCAACAAAATTGGACAGTTTCTTTATTAGTGTTGTTGAGATGAACAACAGCAACAAGAAGATTACATTTGTATAGCGCCTTTCATGTCGGGAGGAAGTCCCTAGGTGCTGGACAGTCAGTTTTGGACCCGAGCTGGGGGTCGGGATTGGGGAGGGTGGGGGGAGCAGGGTGATCGAAAGCAGTCGAAGAGGAGGTTCTTGAGATGGGTCTTGAAGGAGGCAAGGGAGGGGGTGTTGCAGAGAGACTGCTCGATGGAATTCCAGAGGGTGGGGCAGAGTGGCAGAATGTCCGCCCGCCAATGGTGGGGTAGGCGAGGCTGGGGATGTGAAGCTCGCTGAGCGGAGGGAGCGGACAGGATGGTAGGGGGTTAGGAGGCCGCAGAGGTAGAGGGGAGCAAGACTATGGAGGGCTTTGAAGGTGAGGACCAGGATCTTGAACTGTATCCTCTGTGCAATGGGAAGCCAGTGGAGTCAGGCGAGCATGGAGGTCATGGAGCCTGGTGTGGGAGAGGACATGGGCTGCATTATTCTGGATGATCTGCAGCCTATGGAGGGAAGAGTTGGGGAGGCCGACAAGCAAGGAATTTGCGTAGTCAAGCCTCGATGTATGAGGGTTTCGGCGGCCTGTAGTGTGAGACTGTGGCGGAGCCGGGTGATGTTGCCGAATTGGGGGAAGGCAGAGCCGGTCATGGCACAGATTTCGGGTAGAAAGGATACTTGATAGTCAAACGAGATGCCAAGGTTGTGGACTGGCTTAGTAAGGTGGAGTGTGCAACCATGGATGGTGATGCTGTCAATGCCTGAGGTGTGGCGGCCCTGATGGGAGACAATCAGGGGAGCCTCGGTCTTGTTGACGTTCAACTGAAGAAATTTAGTTCTCATCCAGTACTTGACATCTGACAGACATTCTGTCAGGACAGCAGTGGTCCTGGAGTCAAGGGTGAAGGCAGAGAGGTACAGGGTGTCATCCGCATACATGAGGAAGTTGACCCCATGTCTGTGGATGATGTCACCAAGAGGGAGCATATAGATTTTGAAGAGGAAGGGACCAAGGACAGAGCGCCGAGGAATGTTGCACAAGACGGTTCGGGGGCTAGAGGAGAAACTGTTTGTGAAGATGAAGCGGAGGCGATCTGGACCAGTCAAGGACAGAGCTGTGAAGGTTGAGGTGCGAGGAGAAGCTCAAACAACTTGAGTGCAATATGTGTAAACTTTGGTAGCTGTAATCAAGCAAATCAGGGAAAGAAAGCTGGTGCAATATCCTTCATGTGAAAGCAACAGTGCTGTTGCGATTCCTGAAACTCCCCAAGCACTGCTTTATGTTTGTGATACCTTGTGTGGTTTCAGTACACAGGGCCCCCTGTTTAAAGACCAGATAGGTTAGGATTAACAAAGGAATTCTAGCTGTTGAATCAATCTGATTACAAGTGGGTTTTTGCCAGATGTGAGGTTTCTGCAGCGGCCTGACTGACACATGGAGCAATGCCACTTGTCTTGTAGGCATATTCCCACCCTGCCTGGAGCGCGCCAAAACCGCATTGAAGGTCCATTAAAGTGCTTTGAAGTCTACAGATGTTTTTAGTGTGGTTTTAGTTACAAATGCAGAATGTTAAGTAGTGTTGCAGGGGCCTTGATTTTATGAAGGTTGAGGACATTCAGCTGTACTGAAGTCCCTTAAAACAGTAAACTGATTGTCTAGCGTAGAATTATATAGAATATACAGCACAGAAACAGGCCATTCGGCCCAACTGGTCTATGCCGGCATTTATGCTCCACATGAGCCTCTTCCTGCCCTTCCTCAACTAAACCTCACGTCCTCCCGACGTAAAAAGCGCTATATCAAATGCAAGGATTAAGTGGGGTTTGTCTTTGAAGAAAGCTGTTACACTCCGGATATGGTACATGGAAATTCTTCTCTGAGTTCTCAATAGCTGAAAATAGGGACTATTAAGCATGGCAAGGCTTTTCCTTGTAGGCCAGTCTTCTATTTGTTCCACAAATATTGTTTAGTAATTGATAGATTTAGGTAATTACATTTTCAATAAGTTTTTGCACTAATCTTGTTAACTGGAACTACAGGTACAGCCTAAAACTGAGTCAAGCGGAGGTATTGCAGGAGATCAGTGAATATGTGCCTTCAATCATCAAGTGGGCTGAAGATTTTATGCACAACTCCCCGTGGCCCAGCAAACAGCAATTGCAGCTTAAACTGTAAGTTATTTTCCAAATTCGTTCAATGGATGGATTAAGACAAGTGATGGTGTGTGTAGAGTTATAATGGGTAGTTAATTTGACCATTTTAAGTTAGAATGCAAGTCAGATATTTAGGCTTTGCAGTAAAGAGCAAGTTATCTCTTCTCGGAAGCCAAGTTGCTTCAAATGATTCTGAGTGAGGGAAATGTGCCTGGCATTGCATGTGCCATTGGGGGAGGTTAGACATTCCATGATTGTGCTTCAGTTCTTCATTGTGTCTGAATTTATTAATGTTGCCGCAGAATAAATTTAGCTCTTTGCTTTCAGCAACACCTCCTAGTCTCTCACTCTCTACCCATCTCACCACTTTTTATATGCTGCGGATCTCTGCAATTGGAGCTCCTGACAAGTTGATGTAACCTCTCCGTGTGTACTCTCTGTAGCCCGAGCGAGCGAAATCTGAGTAGACAGGATGCCATGAGTAGCATCACAGTGACTGATATTGAAGATATTGAAGAGAATATCTGGTCCCCAAGATTTGGTATAAAAGGCAAGATTGATGTAACTGCCTCTGTTAAAATCCATCGCCAGTCTAAAAGCCAGACCAGAATCATGCCTTTGGAGCTCAAAACGGGAAAAGAATCCAATTCAATAGAGCATAGGAGTCAGGTATGTAACTGTTCTATAAGTTCTCAGCACCTTGATAACTGTAATAGTAACAATCCTTGTATTTGGTACAGTGCCTTGATCTATCAAAATACTTCACAGGATTTACAACAACAACAAAATTACATTTACTGCAAAATGGAGTGACTGTATATTTGTGGGTGAACGAGCAGCCCAATTGCGCACAGCAACGTCCCACAAACAGCCATGGAACGAATGACCAATTGTTTGGGGATTTATTGGCCAGGACACTCGGAGAGAGAAACTCCTTCTCTTTTTGAACAGTGTCATGGGATCTTTAATGTCCATCTGAACAAGCAGACGAGATCTTGGTTAATGTCTCACCTGAAGGACGGCACCTCGGACAATGCAGTAACCCCCCAGCTTAGACTGTGATTCCAAGTCCCATAGTTGGAAAAAAGTAAATTGGGGTGAATTTGCTCAAGCCTCTCGCACACCTCCCAGTAGGATTGCAGTGGCTTGAATAATGTTCAGTGTATTAGTTCCTGTGGATTGATTCAAGTGAATCAATGGGAGTGAATAACCATGGAGACACCCTAAATCATATACCCTACATCACTGGTGTTAGTAGGAATAGAGGTGTATTGGAAGGTTGGAGACTCAAATGGAGTTTAACCACTGGTAAACACTCACTATCCGCTGCCTCCGCTTGGCTGGCTCTGGCCTCCCGCTTGTCCCTCCCCGCCAATTCCATCATCGGCGGACATGCTTTCAGTCACTTTGCCCCCAAAACTTCAGAAATCTCTCCTTCAATCCCTCCACCTTGCCCCCTCCTTCCCTTCTTAGATCATGACTGAAGACCTTTCTCTTCGATCGTGTTTATTGTCGCCACCCCACCGGCTCAGTGTCGGGCTCCGCCACTGTTAAGCGGTCTGAGACGCCCCGGGTGAAGAATGCTGTATAAATGCAAGTTGTCGTTGTTGTATCACTCCATGCCATATCACTGTGTGTTCACCCACTGCTCCCCTGAGTAAACTGGAAGATTTTTTCGAAGAAGGAAACATTAATCTTGGTTTCACATATAGTGCAGTGGATAAAAGCAAACGTGAGGTCTCAGTCTCATTTAAAAGACTTGGATAATTTACTTATCTTCATCTGCTCTTGCATTATCTATAACCATGTAAAGATTGTGTTTGTTCATCTTTGGTAACCGCACTAAGAAAGTGAATATAAATGTGTTGAATCGTTTCCCCTCCAGGTGATCCTGTACACCTTGCTGAGCCAAGATCGTAGGGAGGATCCGGAGGCTGGCTTTCTTCTCTATCTGAAGACTGGGACAGTTTACCCTGTGCCTGGCAATCGTATGGATAGGAGAGGTACAGAGTATCGTAGCATGGACTTTTTGCTTAAGGGAGGGAGGAATGTACTCCACCATGCTTTATTACAATAATCCCTGCAGTCTGATCTATCACCTTCTCATCAAGAGTCTCAAGACACTACACGTGGGGATTGCTGGCCTTCTCCTTTTGAATTGTGCCATGGGATCTTGTACAGGCAGTCAGAACCTCAGTTTAATGACTCATTTGAAGGACAGCATCTCCAACTAATACCGTGCAGGAGTGTCGGCCTAGATTGAGTTCACAATCTGTTGAACTCTTGGGGTTGGAAATGTAAAGATAGTAAAAAGTACATCTGAAAATGCTTAAAAAATGTAATGGCACCTAGACACCACTAGGTATGTCAAACATAATTCAGAGGAGGTCTGGAGGTGGGTGCCATGTTGGTTCAACAACAACAAGATTACATTTGTATAGAGCCTTTCACGTCGGGAGGACGTCCCAAGGTGCTGGACAGCGTACAGCATTTCATTCAGTATGAGCATTCCACATAGCCTTGCAGGTCCCAGGCTTGATCCTTGGCAAGCATTGAGTTTAACATTCTTACTGGGATCACAGGTAGGACTCAGGAATTGGCTTTGGTGCCTTTGGGCTAAAACATTTTCTTTAAATAAAAAAATTGTATATTTTGCTTGGCTTTGATTACCTGGTGTTTTATATGTATATTTATATGAATTGTGTAATTCTCTTTCGCTCCCAACCACCCTTGAGTAATACTTTTTTTCTACTCAACAGAATTGCTGAAGCTAAGGAACCAGCTGGCTTTTTATTTAGCCAATGGTGTGGTTCAGTCCAGCACGCCAAAAGCTGGGCTGTTACCTCCTGTGGTCAGTGACAGACTGGCCTGTAAATTCTGCTCACAGCTTCGGAACTGCGCTTTATACAGCAGGTAAGGGACTGCTTCTGATGGCTGGTAACAAGTTACATGCAGACAAAATACATCCTACAAAATACTGCTCTGAGCTGTGGGTACTGGGAGCTGCCCTTTCCTGGCTCTGAGCTATTTGAATAAAACAGAATTTCTGATCATCGTCTCTAATCTTTTATCTCTTTAAGGACCAAGTATGCTTGAGGTTAGATGCTCATTCCCCCAGCGTTTAATAAACTATTCTGTGCCCTGTCCTGCAATTTTTTATAACCAGATTGCTCTTTGAAAGAGCCAGCACAGGCACGATTGGCTGAATGGCTTCCCTCTGTGCTGTAGGATTCTATGAAAAGTCATCCCACTACCATTTAAGTGGTGCATTTACTGAATGAGCTATTGAGTTTTTTTTGTGTGTGTTGAGTTTGAAACCCAGCGCTCAACCAAGACAGCATGAATAATATAATGACTGGGGACTGGTAGGCTAAACTAGATAAACAGTGGCCTCTAACCAGCTTGTGCTCTGCAGGGCAATTGAGGAGGAGCAGGCTGCCAGCTTTGTGCCAGCAGAACTGAAGCCAGTGCTGGATCAGGAGACCGAGCATCTGACTCGTGGACACCTTCAGTATTTCAGCCTTTGGTACCTGCTTTGCATTATGGAAGCAAATACGATGGACAGCAAAGGAGGCCGGAGACTCATCTGGATGCTTTCTGCAGAGGAAAGGTGAGAAAGAGCTGACTGTGTCTGAGCCCCAAAGATGATGGCATAGCAATTGTCACTAAACCTGTGGTATTTGCAGTAACGTTACAATGTGGTTGAAAATGTAAGTTCGCTGAAATCAGATTTCTGAATATGAAACTTTAATAAGTGGAAAAGGAAATCAATCCTTAGGTATTTTGTCTGCAAGGCATTTTATTATTTTGAAATTTAAAAGCCATGCTTTTCCCTGCTTTTGTGTACGACATCTGGTAGGTTTATCATGCATCTAGGCTATCTGTTTGAGCTTCGTTATCGAAAAAGGAGCTACTTGTTTGAGACTTGGGGGAGGAAGTGAGAGAAGGTAGGTGGGGTGAGGGGACATTGCTTCTGCTGGTTACTAATCTCAGTTGTGTTACTGAGTGGAGGTTGGCTACATAGGGGCAGAGAAGGAGAAAACTGTTCTCACCAGTGGTTCTCACTGGAGACAGGTTGAGGCTTGAAGCTGGGCATCTTTTGGCTACTGGTACTGCTTTTTTATTTAACAGATCTGAAAAGAGGAAGGAGAAAGTGACTTCAATTCAAAACGCAGATAACACCATAGTAAAGTTCTATCAGCAGACATTACAAATGTTGTAATAAATAGCTGTGTTGGGAACAAAATATGTTACTAGATTGCACTAACGCTTTGCGAACTTGGAAATGTGTGTCTTAATACTTTGGCTGACTCAGGAATCAAGAGTGCTATCAGCAGAGCCATGTTGACACAAAGCGCTTACAGAGCATATTTTATCTTGAAGCACTTCAAAGATGAAAGGAGGAAAACGGGGAAAGTTGAAGATGTTGACCAAAGGTACGGTCGGAGAGATGGATTTTTAAGCAGGTCAAGAAGGTGCAAAGTGAAGAGAGAATTGCAGAAGATGAGGAAAATAGTAGCAGGCGGGTTGGAGGGAATGAGAAACTAGCAGCACACCAGAGTTGAAAGAGTAGAGGGTATGGGCAGCAGAATAGGGCTGGAGAAGTTTGCAGAAGTCGGAAAAAGGAGGTTTGAGTGTATTCCAGACAGAAAGAAATTAGTGTAAAAAAAAATCTAATTAACTGAAAATTAGAATAGTGTAAAATATGTATTTCTTAGAAATTAACAGCAGCCTGTACTCACGGTAGGGGGAGCAGGAACCTCAACGTCCGCCCCCTGGATGTGAAATAAGTGGTGGTCTGTGCACATTGAGTGGTAATACAAGCATTGTACCCTATGAAGTGCCATGATAAGGCACTGAATCAAATGCAAGGATTTATTTTTGAGCAGCCTTGGTAGAATGAATGGCAAAGTTTGTGTCTTGGTATACACAGTCAATTCAGTTTGTAGCATATTCTGTGAAGCGCTTTGAGACATCTCAACGATGTGACGTGATAAGGCACTATATCAAATGCAAAGATTAATATTCGTGGCTTCACTAAGACCCTCAGTGCCTGTGCCATCAGCTCAGGATTTCTCTTCGAAGACCAACCACCTTGTGTCAAGCTCTGCACTGATCACTGTTCACAATAGCAACTAAATATGTCATTTGTCATGAGCAATATTGAAACTAGAGTTCTATTTGGATTGAATGTGTCTTTATGTGTTTATCTAGGGAGCAGCAAGGTGGCTGTATTGGTTACCTTCTACGAAATGGTGCAGCACAGGCCATCTCTGATGGACAGTACCAGCATCAGTTCATACGGAAAAATGGCTTCATCCCGGACACTGCACTCATGGCTGGAGACCGAGTGGTCGTGAGCGGACAAGAGAAACAGCTGCTAGCTCTGTCTTCTGGATACATCATTGGGGTGACTGAGTCCCAGATTACCTGTGTACTCGATCGGTAAGCATTGTCCTGTAGAAAAGCTGCAGAAGTGATTTACCCTAAAGATGGGGACATTTTTAGCAGTGAGATTTTTTTTTCCTTTCTCCATAACCATTCTGAGTGGCATGTTTTGGTGCTGTAAGACTCTATTCAATGTGTAATTTATCTTGTGCTGGGAGAGCCTCCCATAGAAATTTACAGCACAGAAAAAGGCCATTCAGTCCACCGTGTCTGTGCTGCTTCCTTTAAGAGCAATCCTTTCCATCCCACTAACCTTTCCTTTCTCCGTACCCCGGCCTCTGCATGTGGGATGTTCACTGTCTGAAATCATTTGATGCGCCCTTGCCTGTCGCTGTAAGTCCTTGCATTGTTTTACCAGGAATCTTTCCAAGCTGCCCGCTGAAACTATTTTCAGGTTTGATCATGATGAAGGAGTTGTAGGTGTGAATTATCACCTCGCAAACCTTTCCAAACTGATGGAAGCCTCCGCAGTCAGGTGAGCCCAAGCTGCCTTTAGCACAGAATCTGTTCTTTGGGGATAATTTTATCCATATCTGTCAGTTTATCCAATGAGCAGCTACACCCCATGTTTGACATCTCACCTGGCCTGAGCTAGCTGAGCTCTCCTATGGCAGCAATTGCCATTATCATCAGTGTCCTGGGTTAAGCAGAGAATATCAGCACTTAAGCCGGCATGGAGAGTGTCAACAAGCTATTTAGTTATGAGGTTGATGCAGCCGAGCCTGATTCCAGGCTCACCCACATCTGTCATTAATCTGGTACTGGGCATTGTTTTGTAGCAGGTTTCAACAACTGTTGATGTTTCTCCAGTACGAATATCCTGCTGATATTCTCTGCCTAACCAGGGCACTGAGGTAGATGTGGGTGAGGCTGGGATCAGGCTCGGCTTCAGCAACCTCAGTAGCTAAATAGCTTGTTGACACTCTCCATCCCAGCTTACACAAGAACAATGCAACAAAAAAAATACATTTGTATAGTGCCTTTCAGGTTAGGAGCACATCCCAAGGCACTGGACAGTCAAGGATTTGCACCCGAGCTGGGGGTTGGGATCAGGAGGGGTGGAGGGCAAGGAGGGTGCTGGGTAGGAAGGATGTTCTTTATTAAAGGTGGAAGTAGAAGGGTGACCGAAGTTGTGGTCGAAGTGCAAGGTCTTGAGGCAGGTCTGGAAGGAGGCAAGGGAAATGCACCTTTTGGTGAGATACTTGTGGATGGACCCAAGAACCAGAAAAGATGAGTCCTTGCTTTTAGGACGGGAGGGGAGAAAGCTGGTGCTGGGCGTTGTTTTGTAGCAGGTTTTAACAACTGTTGATGTTTCTCCAGTACGAAACTTCGAGAGCTGATCGTGGACCATCGACCTCCTCAGTTTATTCCTCATCTCAGCACTGTGCTTCCTCAGGAGGTGAAAGAAACTGTGGCAAACATTCTAAAAGGTACACTTTACAGTCACTGCATTCGCAGCAACAGCTCGGAGAAAGCACACAATTAATTGATGGTTCCGTATACAAGCAAATAGCAAGAGAATTGTTTTAATGACTGTGCACGTGCTTCACTATGCACTGTTACCTGGAAGATCCCTTGGCCTTCTTCAGCTTATTATATAGTTACCATTTTATAATGACTTTCATGTCAAATAAACATCTCAAAGCACTTCACAAGATATCATTTATTAGATGTATAATTTACTTTCTAATACAAAACACCACTGTCCACATCCTTACCCACACCAAACTCCAAATGCCCATTCCCACAGCTCCTAGTAGATTGATTTCAAGGTCCTAACCCTTGCTATAAATCCCTTCACACCCTAGAACCTCCCCATCTCTGTGACCTTCTAATCCCACCTACTACTTGCCTCTCTAAGCCTTTAGCTACTAAGCTTTTAATTACTAGAACTCTCTCTAACCTACCACTTTGACTAAGTCTACGGTCACCTCATCCCTTGCTTGGTGTCCACCTCCAGCTTTGTGAAGCTCTCTGAGAGGTTAACGTACATTTAATTGAACTATATAAATACAAGTTGTTGTTAGGCAGTTATTGTTTATCCTCACATATAAAGAATGGTCATTTGGATGAGACACTGGAGGTCGTCTATGAGAATATTGAGATGAGGCCTCATCAGTATTGTCTCACTGTGGTTCTAACGGCACGTTTTTCCCATTCAAGGACTCAACAAACCCCAGAAACAAGCTATGAAGCGAGTGTTGCTTTCCAGGGATTATACCCTGATTGTAGGCATGCCAGGCACTGGGAAAACTACCACCATCTGTACTCTGGTAAGCCACACTCTGAAATAATAATAATTCTTGCATTTGATATAGCACCTTATCATGTGGTTGAGCAGAGGGAGCGACGGGGTTTGTAGGATTTGAGGAGGTTGCAGAGGTAGGGTGGGGCAAATACAGTAAAGCTCCATTATAACCAGATAGTTGGGGGTCTATAAAATCCCAAACAGTGCTACAGTAGGGCACAATCGCTGGTCCCTGCTCCCCATTCAATACAAGAACTTGCATTTATATACCGGCCCTCACACAGGGTGCTTGACAGTGACAGAACACAATGCTGAGCCGGCGGGAGGTGACCGTAGACACAGTCAAAGGACGGTCTTCAGGCGCAGTCTGACGATGGGGAAGGAAGGGGCAAGGCAGAGGGATAGAGGAAAAGTGTTCCAGAGGTTCGGGGCATAGTGGCTGAAAGCATGGCCACCAATGGTGAAACGGAGGGCACGAGGGACATGCAGGAGCCTGGAGCCAGTCAAACAGACAGCGGATAGTGGACTGGGGAGTAAACAGTCCGGAGAGATAGGGAGGTACCTGGGCATCAAGGATTTGAAAACGAGTGCGAGTATCTTAAAATCCGTTCCATTCGGCAAAAGGGAGCCAGTGGACCCTGTCTAGAACTAGTATGGCCAGTTCTGTGCATGGCCACAAAGAGACCGCTAGCTTCCCACATAAACAATGGCTGATTTTTATATCTCAAATTGCTGCCGATGTCACTATATGTATATACAGACATATAACAGGGTATGTCTATGTATGTCATTGTTCTACCTGAATAGCACATACTGATGTTTTCTCCTTGATGTTGTCAAAGGTGAGGATCCTTCATGCCTGTGGCTTCAGTGTCCTCCTGGCCAGTTACACTAACTCAGCTGTGGACAACATTTTGCTAAAGCTGGCTAGGTTCAAAGTGGGCTTCCTGCGTTTAGGGCGGGTGCAGAAGGTTCACCCCAACATCCAAAAGTTCACAGACGAGGAGATTTGCAAAAGGAAATCTGTCCACACCCTTGCTGAACTGGAAGAACTGTACAGCAGTGAGGTAAGTCTGACTGCTACTTACTGTACAACAACAACTTATTTGTAGAGCACCATTCACGCAGGCTAACGTTTCGGAGCACTGTACGGGGACTGGGTCAGATGCTGAGTGGGGGGGAGGGTGACAATAGGCGTGGTAGGCTATTAGGTGAAAACCAATAAACGGGGGTTAGGCGGACGGCTAGAGGTTCGGCCAGTGGGGGAATTGGTAAGCTTAGGCCCGAGTTTGCCGAGCGGAGAGGGCGAACAGAGGAGTGGTGCAGAAGAAAATCAGAGATGGGGAGGAGCTGGGGCAGGAAGGGGTTTACAGTTGAGGGTGAGGAACTTGAAGATGATCTATTGGAAGGCAGTGGAACCTGCTGAGGACTGGAATGATGGTTGTGCGGTGTTTGGTGTCAATGAAGATACTGTAATGTGAGTGCTTCTCTTTTCCCATCTCTGTCCTCATTCTCTTCTGACTCAGCGATGTGTCTGTTCGTCACATGTGATCCAAGAGAAAAGAAAAGCTACGTTTTGTTTTAGCTCCTTATCATGCTGAAACATCTCCCAAATTACATTAGTTACTGTCAATTGATTGTTTTCTAGCGCCAGAGGTGGCAGCCATTTTGTGCCCAGTTAGGGCACACACTAACCTTCTGTCCTTGTGTTACAACTGGAAATGTCCATTGGTCTTGTCTCTTTGTGTTATTTGTTACTTATCTTGCTAGAAATGTCCACTAATGTTTTGTGTGTGTTACAGCTGGTTGTCGCAACAACCTGTATGGGAGTTAAACACCCAATTTTCAGCCGTCGACGGTTTGACTTTTGCATTGTGGATGAGGCCTCTCAGATCAACCAGCCAATCTGTTTGGGTCCCTTATTTTACGCTGATCGGTTTGTGCTGGTTGGCGATCATCAACAGCTGCCACCCATCGTCCAGAGTTCCGAAGCCAGGTATGTGGAGTCCCATTGTGTAGTGGTTAGCGCGTTTGCCTAACAAATGAGAGGATTCGGCTTCGATTCCCGAGCCCAGCAAAACATTAGGCAAGTTTCCTTACTCCTCACGCTCTGTTTACCTAGAGATAGGTAGGAACCTGGTTGTTAGTCGATTGGCAGGTCGATTTCCGGGGTTAGTAATCCCTCCAAATAGATATAATAATACGGTCACTCAATCCATGATTGTTTGTGGGACACTGCTCTGCGCAATTGGCTGTCGTGTTTCTCTCACAAAATATACAAGTCAATTCATTTTACAGTATATTCTGTGAAGTGCTTTGAGACGTCTCATGCGCATGATAAGTTGCTATATCAAATGCATTATTATTATTTTGTTTTTCTTGTGACTATCATAAGTGTAGCCCTGAATCTCTGACTCCCTTACTGGTCAAATAAGGTAATTTGCCTATGTTTTGTGCGTTTGCCCTTTCTGGGAAAGCTATTGAATATATTTTGTGTTTACAGAGCTCTGGGAATGGACGAGAGTTTGTTTAAGCGTTTGGAGCAGAACCACGATGCAGTCGTTTACCTGAATGTCCAGTATAGAATGAACAGGTACTCCTATATCACAATCAGTCCATTGCAAGTGAATGCTAGGCATTACTGTTCTCTAATAAACCCTTGTCCATCTTTACAGCAAGATTATGTCGCTCAGCAACAACTGGTGTATGAAGGGAAGCTGGTGTGTGGCTCCGAACAAGTGGCAGCTGCTACTCTGCAGTTGCCCAGGTGGAACGAACTGGACTCATCTTGGCTAAAAGACGCCCTGGAGCCACGTCATCCCATCTGTTTCCTGAACACCGCAAAGGTGAGCAAGTCTTCACGCTGACTAATAGAACCCAAGTGACCATTTCTCTCTCATCTCAATCAACTTAGCTCATGAAGCATCGGGATAAGAGCTGGTGAGTACTGTTAGATGTTGTGGCTCTTGTGAACACAAACCACCAGATATCCTTCGACTGCCCTCCTACCCTCCTTGCACTCCACCCTCCCTGATCCCAACCATCCCCCAGCTTGGGTCCAAATCACTGACTGTCCAGCACCTTGGGATATCCTCCTGATGTGAACGACTCTATACAAATTAATTTTGTATTATTTTAATGGGTCAAATTGCCCTTTTCTGTGCTGTAGCATTCTATGATTCTTGAATCCCAAATCAGACTTAATGTCTGTTCTTTGTGTCCAAGGTACCAGCCCCGGAGACAGATGAGCCTTATGGTCTGGGTAATGTTACAGAGGCTCAGTTGGTGTACCATCTAACAGCTGTGCTTTTAAAGGTGTGTACTTTTATTCTGTCAGGAAATGATGCTGTGTGGACTATTGTACTCTGACACAACCTGAACAGGCTTCACTTTGGATGCTTGAGAGTAGAGTTCCTAACTTTAAAAACTAAGTACAAAGCGTTTGCAATATGTGTGGAAGGAAAAATTGAATAATTACTGTGAATCATCTGTTGCATAGCTTACTGCATGCTTCTAATTGTAATGAGAGATTTCTGAAATAGTCCCGGAGGCACTGCGAGTGAAGTGGTTGCCTTTATTTCATTACTTAATACATTTGGCCACAAGCCAGACTGTCGTGATTATGTTATAAAATGCATTGTTTGCCCTCTGCATGACTTCAACTCTGGAATTGTATTCCGCACAGGCTGGATGTCGGGGCTGTAACATTGGCATCATTGCCCCGTACAGACAACAGCTTAAAACCATCTCCGCACTACTGGCAAAAGAGGCAGCCTTCAGTGCCGTGGAGGTGAACACTGTGGATAAGTACCAGGGAAGAGACAAGAGTGTCATCATCGCTTCCTTTGTGCGGAGCAATCGTGATGGCAATGTAAGTACCAGATGTGCCTGTTGTGTCAAATGTTTGTGCGATTGTTCAGTTTGTGCAAACCTGATGAGGTTGTAAAGTTACCCCGGTATAACTGGGTACTTGTGATATTTAATAACAAATCAATTCCTTTCACCACTGAAAGTTGTTTTTCACTGTAGGATTAGCAAAGTTGAGCTCACTCACAGCCCGGCCTATTTCTTTGGAATAGAAAATACCCCAGAGTGAAGTTCTTTTTAGATTTTTATAAATGTACTTTTTGGTGTATATATTTTTGAGTTTCCCTGTCACTGAATTGACACTTTCATGCTCCTCATAGACTCAGACTCTCATGTCTGAGCCGTGGAGCTGCGACTGGTCAAAGCTCTTCCTCCATGATTTTAATTTAAAACCTATTGATATATTCCCGATTGTTTCCACCTCTCCTGATTGGTGCTTATGTTACAGTCACTGAATATCAGCACCTGTACCCATGTAACCAGTTTTCATGTGAGAAGCTGAACAACAAATGTTAATGCAATGATAATAGTAATCCTTGCGTTTGATAAGGTGCCTTCCACGTCACCAGGATGTCTCAGGATTTCACAAGATTTCCCGTAGTGACTATATTTTTATAGGCAAACATGTTGCCAAGCTGTTAAATCAGGGTGGTCCAACTGGCAGTTGGTGATGGGAAGTTGTATTATCATGAAGAATATAACTTTACTCTTTTTCTAACAGCTGGGGGAGTTGTTGAAGGACTGGAGACGTCTCAATGTTGCTGTCACTAGGGCCAAGCACAAGCTGATCATGGTGGGCTGTGTTCCAACATTGCGTCGATATGCCCCGTTGGAAAAATTACTTGATAACCTAAATGCTGAACAGATGATATCCTTTACCTTTACAAATAGGAAAGTGTAACAAGCCAAAACCTTAACGGGTTGGGTGGTCTCAGCTGGATAAGCAGTGGGAAATCTTGACAGGCAGTACTCAATGCCAAGTTATGGGGTTTTACCTGGTTAGACTCCAGCAGACCAAAAGAAAAGCACAGCATCCTGGGAGGGAGAGAGGTAGGAACTGTCCCATGACACAGCTTTGTTAAACTCTTATTGTTACAATCATGGTGTTGACATGGAATGCTGCCTTTATACATGGAGGGATGGTTGTCAGGTCCTGTTGGTTCAGGTCTGAGTGATATTTCACACTGTCTCAATCATACACTGCAGAATTGCTGTGCCTTTTTCCTTAACAAACATCACATCATTGAACTTCCGCCAGCAGCTCATGAAGTGGCTGCTCCACAGACCAGCTGACCTGAGTGACTTTCCCTCCAGGCTGAAGAACTTGAATATGCACTGCCAAGTGGCTCATCTCATCATAGTCCTCCCTTTCCCTCCATTGGTAACTTATCTACCTCATGAAGGAAAACCCCATTCTGGTCAGCGTTGCAAGTCTGACATTAGATAGGCAATTTTGTATGTTGTTTCTCTAACCTCCTCTCCCCCCACCTCACCTTCGGATAAGTAAACTTGATAGAAACTGAAGATTAGAAACTTCTAAATTGTCAATTTTGAATACAGTGGAATTTAAGGTGCTGATTTTAAAAAAAAAATTAAAAATTGGTTGACACTGTTAATATAGCTCCCAAATGACTTAGTCACTGTCCAAGACACTTAGTCAGTGTCCAGATTACTTAGTCAACATAGACTGAAATATGGACACTATCCAAAAAGACTCAGTCACGGATTCTAATTTCATCACGTCACTGCAGATCAAATCATTCAGTAGATACATTCTTGACTTTGATCTACCAGAGCATTATAGACATTAATACCCTTCTGGCCTACTGCTGTATCATTAACAGCCATATCAACACACTTTGAAATGGTCTTGTAAGCTGCTTACTCAGTGAATAAGGTACATGGTAGAATCTACACTAACTTTACATATATGAAGAACTTTTGGCGGTTAGTTGAAATGAAACCTCACATTTTCCCTCATTGTATCACTCATTTTACAACTAAAGCTGCATCAGAACTAGTCCAATCTGGGCTGAGGTGACTGCTGTACAAATGCAGAGCCACATTGCCAATTTGTTTGTAAAAGCTGCTGTTATAATTATGCTTTGTAATCCTAAGAGCTGTGTTGTTTACAGTTGTGTTGGGAGATTATTGATCGCATACGTTGTGTAGAAGGATGTTAGATTGTTTTGCAGTCCAAGTTATCAAATGTACAATTGTTATCAAGTGTACACCCTATCTTGGGATTGTTTCTTGAAGAGGTCAGGGCTGCACTGATTTACAAGTGCAGAACTAGCTGCTACTTAACAAGTTGGTAATGATGCTATTTTAATGCGTAAATTAAATAAAATGCTAATTAAAAAAAAATTCTGTATGTGTTGAAGGAAAATCACTCTTACGTAGAAGAGAAAAAATGACAAATGTTTCCAGCCCTACTTATGAGCGTTATTGTTATGACAATAATCATGAATTACAAAATGATGTTTTTTCTGTTTAAAACTGTTGAAGGGGAAAATTGGGTGGAGGTGGGGGTTGGAAGTACCGTCCTTCGAATAAGACTTTAAACCAAAATCTGCTTGGCAGAAAAGATCCCATGATCCTGTTGGAAAACAGGAGTTTCTTCCAGTGTCCTGGCCAGTAATCCCACAATAAAGTTGGTCAGGGACATTGCTGGGTGCAAATTGGATACCATATTCAATCGCAAAATACGCAGCCTCTACACTTTATAGTGTATCCAATGAAGCGCTTTGAGACATCCTCCTGGAGTGAAAGGCATTGCATCAAATACAATAATTAATTACACAGGCTCCATACTAATGCTTAAAAGCAGTTTATTTTTTTCACTTTTTCTTCTTCAATTTTCTCTTGTCTCCTGAAAACTTTTCTTCTCTAATTCTTTTTTTCTTCTATTGAAAACTTCAGCAGGTATTATCAGTGTGTGACCTTTGATGGTGACTGTTAGTCCATTTGACCAACAGGGGGCATCACAGCCAAGCCCAATCTTATCTGCCATACACATGCACACACCTTTCAACAGTCTAGTGTTTGGATAGCAATCGGGAGCAGAGAAATCTGGCTGATTTTTCCTGCTTCCTAACCCAAGGATTACAAAGTCTAATTGTAGTTCCAACTACTTTCTTGGCTGTCAGTTAACAGCACAGACCTTCCTAAGCAAACACAGCAAATGTGTAAATGTTTGGTAGCTGCAAAATGTTTTTTTAAGATGATTTCCAGCACCTGAGATTTTCACTGTGACTAATGCAGAATGTTCCCCCTATAATTTCCCCTGAAAAGATTAACAACCCGAGTGGTATTTATACCATGTGTAGGACACGACTGCTTGCAGATTATCCAGGCACATGCATCAGCACGTTCAAAATGGTCAATTAAGACTCTGACAAGATGAGGCTTCCATGGAGAACAATCAGTGCAGTGCCAGCTATATCCACTCGTCCACCCTCTTTCACCGAGATCTTCAGACTGCCTCCTCGTTTGGAGCATTGATAAGCTGTCAAAAAAAATTGCAAGCTTTTAACAAACGTTCATTTGCATTTCTAGTTTATTGGACAATTACAAACCATCTTCTTACCTAACATCTCTCTCTTGCCAAGTTGTTCCGTCCAGTAGCTGGCCAGAACTGTGTGCGCGGAGCCTGTGGAAGAACAGCGTTGGGAACTTTAGAATCTTAGAAAGTCACAGCACAGTCTGCAAGGCTTTCAGAGAAAGGTGTTCATTCAGTTCCCTGCCCTATCCCCATATCCCTTCAAGCCTTTATCTATCATGTACCTGTCAATGTCTTCTTGAAACCCACACTTACTTGGCAGGTAACCCCCGCCACCCTCCGATTGTCAGAAGTGGTGGGTGCCCATATCTGTTGGAATCTGGCCAGACAGTGTAGACCATACATAATCAATTTGTTTCAGCAGCTGTGGACCACATGTACAATGTGGGAGGAAATTTCGAACATCACAACTGGGATATGATCAGGCAGCAAGTAGATCCAGGTCACCAGATGATAGGATTGTGAGGAGCCGTGTCCATCAGGTAAGAGATCCAAAAGACAGGATTTGGGGTATTGGGAGTTTGACTAGAGTCTTCTCAAACCCACACTTCTGTCCAAAAATGAGTGGTGCTAAGAGAAACACAATAAATGCTTCAAACTCTTGCTGCCCACCCCCCTGCTAGTACATATCAAACGTAGGGTTACATTTCTACCATCTGTCCATCTTGAGGTAGATACAGTGCAGGAAGCTGAATTCTCTTTCTCTTATTTTGTTGGAGATTGAAGGTTTGATTGGACAGAATAGAATCCAAGCAGAATCCCTGGGTCATGTTCCCACTTCTCTCTCAGGTGGTCCATCAGAGATGTTTATATGAATAGGCATGCATTGGGTTGTAGTCAATAGTTTGTTGGCATGATCGTGTTTGGTGTGGAATCTTTTTAACTATACTAGTATAACCACCATTTATACATTAGAGTGCAGCGATGCATTGAATGCCGCCTTCGCCCCAGAATCCAGCTTGTACTGCTGTGCGAAACACAGTTAATTCACTTTACAATACATTCTATGAAGCTCTTTGAGACTTCTCAACAACGTGATAAGGCGCTATATCAAATGCAAGGAATAGTATTATGTACATCTGACAGACAGGAGGTCAGTGAGCTTACCTGTCACGGGATCCTCAGGAATTCCATTCCATGGAGAAAAATATCTTGAGTAAAGGTCATAGCCTCTTGTACTAATGTTCGGTGTTCCTTTAAGTGTTAGAATAAGGCCCTTCACCATACCACTATTCTCTGCCTGAAGCAGACGGTTGGGATCCACTTGAAGTGTTTCTAGCACAGTCCTGAGTTTAAAAATAAAAGGTTTTTTTAAAGGAAAAAGCTATTATATTAATGGTAAATAATACCTTCTCCCCCCGACCTCTGCGACCTCTTAACTCTTACCATCCAGGTCGCTTCCTCCACTCAGCAGGTTCCGGCATGCTTTATGTTCCCTGCCTCACCTGCCCCACCATTGGTGGGTGGGCCTTCTGCCACTCTGCCCCCACCCTCTGGAACTCCATCCCGCAGTCCCTTCGCCTCACTCCCTCCCTTGCTTCCTTCAAAATCCATCTCAAGACCCTCCTCTTTGACCGTGCTTCTGATCACCTTGCTTCCCCCTCTGCCCTCCATCCTCCCCAATCCTGTCACCCAGCTTGGGTCCAAAACTCTGTCTGTCCAGCGCCTTGGGACGTCCTCCCGACATGAAAGGTGCTATACAAATGTAATTTTGTTGTAGACATCAACCTTTCATAGGCGTCGTTAAGACGAACGAGAAGTTTCTTTGTCTTAGATGAGTAGTGAATGTCTTGTATGTTGAGGTCACCCACTGCTCCCTGGAAGAAGAATCACAGAATTTTAAAGGAATTTACATCGCAGAAGGAGGCCATTCAGCCCATCAAATCTGTACTGGCTCTCAGAGCAAGGTGTTCATTCTTAATAATAATAATCCTTGTATTTGATATAGCACCTTATCACGTCTTCGAGCTGTCTCAAAGTGCTTCACAGAATATACTGTAAAGTGAATTGACTATATTTTGTGGGCGAAACGTGGCAGGCAATTGCGCATAGCAGTGTCCCACAAGCAATTGTGGATTGAATGACCAAGTTATTATTTTTTAATTTTTTTTGAATGGATTATTACCCCCGGAAAAGCGATCAGCCAATCGACTAACAGCTGGGTTCCTACTTACTGCTAGGTAAACAGAAGCATGTGGAGCAAGGAAATTTGCCTATTGTTTCGCCCTGCCTTGCCAAATCCTCATATCCCATCAAGCCTCTATCTTCCCTATACCGTCTACTTCCCTCTTGAAAACCATAATAGACTGCCACCTTACTTGATGGGACATTCCATGTCCAAACAAAATCTAAGCTCTCTTCATTTTTCTTGTGACCATCTTATAACTGTCCTGTAGTAACTGACTCCCATAATGTCTTCTATTCTAGTGCGGTCATTATATAACAAGAAAGTAGGATTCCGGTCTGATATTTCATCTTTGCCTCAAGGATTCTGAGCCAAGTGTTGCTATTTTCTTTCTATAAAAGTTTAGAACTTTTACAACTTGCTGTTCTGTCTCACGGGATGAGGGCAACTCTTCCCTGGAGCTCCTACTTTTATATTCTTTTACTTGCCCATAGTCAGGGTTTGTCCTGCCTTTGTTGTATTATTTCTGCCAAATGGCCAACAAGTTCTTTTTTTAAAAAAAAAGCTTTACCCAATTGTGAACAATCCCTTTGCTCTTGTCAATGGCTCCTGATGCTTTGTAATCTTGACTTGACCACTCAGGTGCTCTGACATGTGAATAGTAAGACTAACCTGGCACTGCAGCTTTGGATAAAGTCCAGGCCTTTTGCTCAGAGAAACAACTTGACAGAATTACAGATGTATTGAAATTGACTGTCATTCCCATGGGCTGTTTAATCTGCCTGCTCATGTAGAGGTTTAAGAACCCATTACACTAATGGAAAATAAAAGGCTGTTTGAGCCTTTCACGGCTGTTTGTTAAATGCTTTTGTGAATTGACGGGTGTGTTCGCCTAAAAAATACAGTCAATACATTCTACAGTAAAATCATATGAAGCACTTCGAGCTGGTTTAACGACATACGGAGCTATATCAAATGCAACAATTGTTATTATAAAAGGGAATTTCTCCCAGTGACTTGACCAACAATCCCTCCAATTAATTATCATTGTTGCCTAGGAAAACAGTCACTATACTTGACAATAGTTGCTTGTGAGGTATTTTGAGACATTTCAGTGTAACTTGGTATCAATCTTAATTTCTGCAGACTTCGGGAACGCATCTTAAAGTGCTTGACAGAATATACGATACTGTGATAGTGTAAAGTGTGTATTTTATAGGTGAATACAGCATTAAATTTGTGCCCAGCAATGATCCCATTATCAGCCATGAAGCGAGTGATCAATTTTATCGGGGGATTGTTGGCCGGTCCACTGGGAGGGAGAAAACTCCCTTTTCTTTTCGAATAGGATCTGTGAGCCCAACTCCAAAATTTCCACCTATACAAGAGAGCCAATTGAATATTCTCCAACGCCTTCACAGTTGGCAGAAATAGAATTCAGGTTGGAGGGGGCTCGGCAACCTCTGATGTTCTGGTCATGGCCTCATGCGTACAATTGTGGAATTACCTTGTATATGGAGTATTTCATGCTAATGGAAAGTTTACTTGGTACTCAACACACAAACAAACTTACCTTTATTAACTCTTTTATTTCTTTTTCATCCTGTTTAGAGGGGGCAGGGGGTGAGAAATGTGGAGAAAAATTAGCTGGCAAAACAAAATTCGGTACATCTTAAATGCCTGAAAGGATAAGCGCTCTGGGATGGTACCCTGGGTGAAAGACACTATAAAAATGCATGTTCTTGACGATAAAGAGCACACATTGTAAAAGACAGTTACAAACTTGAAACACTAAAAAGATTTTTTTTATATATTCCTGGGTTCCCAGGGGAGCTCTTCTGAGAATAGCTAAAGTATAGTATGGATTGAGTAGATTAAATGCAGAGTGAAAGCTCTTTCTAGTTTTTGATATATGTCTGGCATGGGGAAAATCAATGCTGACAAAAATAGAAAAGTGCAAAGCAGAACAATTACCGAAAGACATTAAATTTAAATGTTTTAAATAAGACTTGCAAAGAGCCAATATAAGTTGTCTCTGACCTGCACAGTGGTACGGTTGAGTGGGAAGTCCAGCACTATATCACTGCCTGCCTGTCTGGCATGTAACTCCCCACTTAATGTTTCAAAGGTAAGAACAGCATTTGAATTCTCTATTAGTAGAAGAGAAATGTGTGTTTATTATATGCTTTCATTAATGGACACTTTATATTAGCGCAGAATGGAATTTGAGATAGGAAGGGGTCTCCTTGGAGCTGAACTGGCTCTAAGGTGATGTGCCTTACCCCCTTACCCTTACCCCCCCAACCCCAGCTCGGGTCTGAAATGCTGTACTCTGTCCAGCGCCTTGGGACGTCCTCCCGACCTGAAAGGCGCTATACAAATGTAATCTTGTTGTTGTTGTTTTGCAATGAAATGTTGGAATCAAGTCAGCCGGTTCCTGAGCCTGGCAGGTCCACAGTACTCCAGGGCACTGCTGATGACAGCATAGACAACCCTGGCTCGTCGGCAGGATCTGGAAAGGCAGACCAGTTACTGAGGGCAGGGAGTCATTCTACTCAGCTCCTGTTAACCCAGAAAGCCAAAGCCCTAACTGGTAGGGTGGTGCAGCAGGAAAGCTTGCCAGACAGCGATATTAATGGCAAGCTATGCGGTTTTAGCTGGTTAGACTCCAGCAGTTAACCCAACTCACACTCTGGGGTCCCCAAGCCTTGGATTTTGCCACTTGTGCCTAATACTTTCTGGAACTAGGTAAGCAGGATGAGTCCCTCCATCAACAACAACAAGATTCCATTTATAAAGCGCCTTTCACGTCAGGAGGACGTCCCAAGGCGCTGCACAGTTGGGTCATGACCCGAGCAGGGGGGAAATGGTCAGGGTGAGGGGAGGGAAGGGAGGGAGCGAGGAGAGGGGGAAATGGTCAGGGTGAGGGGAGGGAAGGGAGGGAGCGAGGAGAGGGGGAAATGGTCAGGGTGAGGGGAAGGAAGGGAGGGAGCGAGGAGGGGGAAGAGAGTCGAGAGGGGAGCTGAAGGCTCGGTCAAAGAGAAAGGTTTTGAGACCGGCCTTGAAGGAGGAGAGGGAGGAAGCAAGGCGAAGGCACTGGGGGATGGAGTTCCAGAGCCTGGGGGCTGAGAGGCTGAAGGCCCGACCACCGATGGTAGGGCAATTGGGGCGGGGGACGTGGAGCAGACCGGAGCCGGAGGAACGGAGGGTACGGGCAGGTAGGTAGGGGGATAGTAGGTTGGAGAGGTAGGAGGGAGCGAGGCCGTGAATGGCCTTGTAGGTGAGGATGAGGATCTTGAAATCAATCCTCTGGGGGATGGGGAGCCAGTGGAGGCGAGCGAGGGTGGGAGTGATGTGGTCCCGAAGCCTGGTGCGGGATAGTACACGAGCTGCAGAGTTCTGAATGACAAGGAGAGAGTGTGCATTCTATCTATCTCTGGCTGCTGCGTTTCGTCCACAAAATATACAGTTACTCCAGTTATATTAAAATGCAAGGATTCATTGATTAATAATTGGAGGAGGAAATTAAATTATCTCTTACTTTTTATTTGGAAAAGCACCTTGGCAGCAGCTAAGGTAGCGTGTCCACACAGGGGAACCTCGTTTGTCGGTGTGAACCACCTCAGGCTAAACCGGGAACCTACAGAAACAAAGAAACAAAGCTTCAGAAACATAGTGAGTGACAAAGAGCGTTCCTCTGGGCTTGATGAGTTTCTCTGATGAGCTAATGACTCCAGCAGACCACTTTTCGTGAGCACAGACACACACACTGGTCAGTGATCAAAAGCAGGATATATTTTTTCTCACCCATTCTAAAATAATAATCCTTGCATTTGATATAGCACCTTATCATATCAATCTCAAAGCGCATCACAGAGTATCTTGTAAAGTGAATTGACTGGTTTGTGGGCGAAACACGGCAGCCAATCGCGAACAACAGTATCCCACAAACAGTCGTGGATTGAGTGACCAAATTATTTTTTTTAAATAAAAAGTTTGAATGGATTACTACCACCGGAATTACCCCTTACTTGCTGCTGGGTAAACAGGCGTGTGGAGTAAGGATATGGAATACCTGCATTAGTTTACATCAGCCAACTCGACAGATGCCAGGGAACGAACCTGGTTTTTACTGCTCAGTGTGGCCAATGTGGTGCCTGAACCACTGAGGATACCCACTGCTTCCATATTACTGTTGGTGTTCTAGTGAGACAGTGGCAGGATAGGCTGAGCAGTATTAGGTGTCAGTTTGGCTCAGTTGATAGCACTCACCTCAGGTACAGAAGGTTGTGAGTTTAAACCCAATGTCAGGACTTGGATTCTGAGTCTAGGCTGACACTGCAGTACAGGGAGAACGCTACATTTTCAAAGGTGCCGTCTTTAACACATTAAATCGAGGTCCTGCCTGCCTGTTCTTCAGGTGGATCCTGTGACATTTTTTGCTGGTTTCCTGGCCAACAATACACTTTTAACCGGTCATTCATTTCACAGTTACTTGTGAGTCCTCATTGTGCATTGGACGGCTTTGTTTGCTTACGTATTTCAGGTGTTGTACTTGACAGCTGTTACTGTAAAGGTGCTCTAAAATTGAAACTTCTACTCACGTTTATGCTGGAAGTACATTGAGGGAAATTGTAGTGCTGAGGTGAACTTACTGAGCATAGACCAACCATCCATGACTGTGGGACACTGCTGTGCGCAATTCGCTGCCGCGTTTCACCCACAAAATATACAATCAATTCACTTTACATTATATTCTATGAAGTGCTTTGAGATGTCTCAAAGATGTGATAAGGCAAAATATGAAATGCAAGGATTATTATTATCCACGCCTGGGGCCTCTGTAGCTCAGATTTTGAGCAGAGGCAGTGGGAGTGGCTTTAGCAGCTGATTCATCAGCAGAGCCAGAGTAAGTTAGGTGCTGGAACCCTAGCAACCACTGCCCATACTTTGCGTTACAAGTTGCCCTGTTGGGTGAAGCAAGGTAATTCATTATTGAAGCACATTCCTCTTGTGCTACACAGTTAACTTGTCCCTTTAAATGAAACTGCATTGACATAATTGGTAAATGCGTGTCGTTATACTGACCGAAAACCATGAGGTTGTAATGTTGCACAATAGTTACCTTATCTGTACTGGATTAATTTTTAATGATTATTGGAAAACTGTGCTCTGGGTTTGAGGATAGCTTTTTCCATGAATTACAAAGATCCTGCAGCTTTGGAAAGGATTGTTATTTTGTATTGCCAGTTGTTTTTAGTGTGTTTAGCTATTGTTATTATTATTGTAATATTATGTAGCAATGTTTTTTATTCTCTATGAAGAGTTTTTATACTATTATCCCAGTGGTAGGACTAAGGAGATTGTTGTGTGTGTTTTTCCCCATTTGGCAAATCTATGAAATCCTGTGTGTGTATTCCCAGGGAAAGAGGTGAGGGGAGAATAATAATAATCCTTGCATTTAATATAGTGCCTTTCACGTCATCGAGACCTTTCAAAGTGCTTCAAGGGATAAAATGAATTTCGTAAAACACTCGAAGATACTAACATTGTGTTTTTTATTTGAACTTTGTCGTCTATTTGATGAAAAAGCCTGGGTTAGAATTTGCATTTCTTGTTATTAGTGCAGCTGATGCTGTACCTTTCTCATTATTTCCCTGTGATCCTGTCTCTCTTGTGCTACACAATGGTTTGCTTACTGTTGCCGAAGGTGTCCTCTAGCTTGAGCGTCCTGATGAAAGCTGTTTCTGACAAGTTCATCTCTGTGGCAATGTTCTGATGCCATTCCTCAGACACAGGCTTAAAAAACAAAGTTGAAAGTCTCTAGTTCTTTCTCTTGTTAAGTATATAGATAAGACCAATGTCAGAATCTTGTTTCTCACTCAAATGATGATTACTCTGTGAGTGTACACTCAATTGTACTATTACTATTAATAATAATCATTGCTTTTGATATTGAACCGTTCATGTCCGGAGGAAACCCCAAAGTTTTTCCGCCTTTTGTGGAATTATTTTAAACCCGTTTTTGTCTCCAAATAATAATAATAATCCTTGCATTTGATATAGCTCCTTTTATGTCGTTGAGATGTCTCAAACCATTTCACAGGATATACTGTACCGTAAAGTGAATTGATTGTGTATTTTGTGGGCAAAGCGCGGCAGCCAATTGCGCTCAGCAATGTCCCAGAAACAGCAATGAAGTGAACGACCAATTTTATTTGGGGGATTGCTTGATAGGAGAAACTGCCCATCCCCTCCAGCTCAGGGTAAGGTGGCCAATTATAGTATCTAGGGAGTATCTGGGAGACAGTGGAAGTAGAAAATGTTGTTTGTATCAAGAACAAAATTACATAGATTTCTGCAAGAAAATAATATCTTGGGATGCAGCATATAGTTTGGAACAAGACATGTCAAGCGACTGCCAGAAGGGTGGAAGGCGAACTAGATGGACCTTGTTCTCCTTTTACCTAGCAATTCTTATGTTCTTATGAGAGATCAGAATCTCAGAAGAGAATTTGCAATTTCTGCCCTGTGTGACCCAGTGCGGCAGCAATTTGGCCATTGAGGTAAAATGCTTAGATTTGGTAATGGAGGAGAATGGCAGTAACAGCAGGGACTATTTGTTGAAGACAGTTTTGGGATTTACTAAATTAAACTCACGTTATCCAGCAGGCAGACAGCAGCGGGATTTCCACAGAAAGCTTTGCTTGTGAACGTGTCCACAGTGAATATAGGGATCTGCATTGAGGTCTCTTCTGTGCCACATCAGATTAAAACTTGTTACTGAGCGGGGAAGAGGTTCAAATGTCCCCTGTTTTAGGTACATCAAGCAAATTATTCTCTAAACGGGTTAATATTTAACTTTATTAAAGTTATAGATCAGTTTGTCATCAGAAAGCATGGAAAACCTGGGCTCTCGGCTGCAGAGGTTGGATCACACTGTCTTTATTTCTGGTTGCATGACCTCTGGTATAGTGACCATCTTCTGGGCCATATGTTCATTCTATTTATTAATATTCCCTACTCTTGTGTGTTGTGGAGTGTAGTTAGTTGGCCCTCGTAATCTGTGGTCTCTGCTTGATCCGCACATCGTGATACAATAATGACACAATGTACAGATCTGCCTCCGCAGGAAAGGCTGCATTTTGAACATTTCACACATCACAAGTTCACCGCAAAACACTGTCACTACACTTTACAATAAATCCTGTGAAGCTTCTTTGAGATGTCCTGACATGAAAGGCGCTGTATCAAATGCAAGGATTTTTATTATTATTATTATTACTACCCGATCAGACGCCCCTAAATAATTAGTCTACATCAGCACACGCTACACTTACTTTGCCTGGTTGGAACTGGCCCAAATTCACCATAGCCCCGATTGGTAGATAAAATATGCATTCCTCCGAAGTACAACTCCAGTTGTAAACTACATTATTGCACAATTCCCAAGGAGTAAAAATGAGAGCTCAAATTTTTCATTTACCAAAATTGGTTGAAGAGCCCGAGGCAAACTCTTTGTCGGTACTCAACTGTGCCTCACGCCAAACTCTTAACTTACTTTACTTTTGAGCATTTAACGCCGTAAAGGAATAAATCATATCGGGACCTCGACTTAACGTCTCGTCTGAAGGACCGCACCTCTGCGCTCCCCCAGCACTGCATCGGAAAGTCAGCCCAGACTGTGAGCTCAAAGTGCCAACATAGCGGTTTGAACCCACAACCTTCTTGGCTCCGAGGTGAGAGTGCGAGGGCCTGAGCCTGGGCCTGAGTGACTAATAATAATACTGAACATGGTTTGGAGATGATGGGATGTGTATGTATGAGAGGGAGTGGGTATTGGGTATGGAGTGGATTATCATGGGGGGGGGGGGGGGCGAGAGGGTTGGGTTGCTATGGGTTATGGGGGGAGGGCACGGTCTGGTTGTCATGGGTTACGGGGCGAGGCCTGGGCTGCGATAGGTTGCTGGGACAGGGGGCGTGGCCCGCTCAGAGTGACGAGCGGGCTCGCGCGGTTGCTCGCGAGACGCGGCGCTGGATTGGGCGGGCGGCAGTTGGACGCCATTATAACGGAGCCTGCGGTAAGGGACGGGCGAGCGTTCAGCCGGAGCCGGGGCCTTGGAGTCGGCACAAATCCGGAAATCTTGTTCTTCTTGTACCATCGCAGGCGGTTATCGCTCCAAATCTCGCTCAGCCGGCGCTCTGCTTACTTGTTTTAGTCATGCTTAAGGCGGACAGCCCGAGCGAGGGATCACCGACCGGGTTAGGCCCGGTGGCGCAGGTCGACGGTAAACATCGCACAAAACACGGTTATCTTTTTCACAGCGACGGGTTTCGGTGCCGCGCCCGAGCCGCTCTCACACCGTCTGGGTTCGGTGTGTGGAGGAGGGTCGCGGGCTGGAGGGCGTGCGGCGAAAGCCGAGCGGCCTCGTGGTCCAGTCTTCATCTCTTCCCCCCCCCCCCGCCCCCCCTTTTGTTGGCGCGGTTTATAACCGCCGCCAGAGGGTCTCTTTCTCCCCCCCCCTCCCCACACACACACGCACACACTTACCACATACACACACACACACACAAGGCTGTAGTGACTTCATATTAGGGAGGCAGGAGGTTATCTCGCGTGAAGGAGCCCGAAGCGCGGGGTTGAGAGCCGCCGTCTCTCAGTTGCCGACCTCCGGCTCGCGCGCATCCTACTGGCCGCCATTTTGAGAACGGGCGCCTGTAATGGCGGAGGCTGGGCATGGGGCGGGAGAGGCCCGGGGCGCTGTGTTTTTTTTTCTCTCTCAACCCGGTTACCATAAAACTAAAACGTAGGCGCTGAAAAGCCATGATAGTACAGGAAAAGGACTGACCGAGCTTGTTGGCATCCACGTTGAAAGGAGCTTTCTTTTATGGCTTAGATATTGTCCAGAATAGGGACGGGTTTGATAATAATACTACTTTCGATAATAATCGTACTCAAAATAATACTTGCATTTGATATAGTGCTTTATCGTGTTGCGTCATCTCAAAGCGCTTCATAGAATATACTGCAAAGTTATCTACTGTGTGTTTGTGGGTGCGCACAGCTGCCTGATGGGTGGAAGGAAGCCTTTGACATCTGACTGGTCTAGGATTCTGGGAGAAAACTCATCGCAAGATCCTTATGGATCTGTATCGCTTTGTTATTGAAAACAGAATGTTCTTTTAACAACAAATTTTCTGCTCTTTGGACGCGAGTCCCATCTTGTGTTCGTGCAGCTTTATGGGCAGCACAATTGCTCGACTGCTTTCAGACACTACACCGGAGGTCGGCAACTTCTCTTCCTCTAGCTTTCCGCCTTGCCATTTCCTTCCCCATTTTCAGGTCTTCCTGTTCGACCGTGCCTAAGGTCACCTTTGGCTCGGCATGCTCTGTCACTGTCAAGTGCTTTGGGATGCTGCCCTGCGTGAGGAGTGCTATTTAAATGCAAGTTTCTGTTGGTGGCATTTGAGGATATTTGGAGCTGAAGGATTTTGTTGATCACGGTACATGTTTTCATTGTCTCTTTGTGATCATTGTGAGAAGGGCATTTTGAACTAAGATGTACTCACTATTGGTGTGATGCCAAGACGATGAGTTATGACTGGAATAGGAATACTAGATATACTACTTTTACACCGGCAGTTATGTGAGATTCATTGTAATTTCTATAAAACAAATTGACCCATCACTGAAGCCAGGTATTGAGATAGGATTATATCAGGCGAGTTCATTTTACAGATGCCACTTCTGACCATCTGAAATGTGCCACATTTCACATTCAATTGACTAAAACGCCGACAACACCAGTGAGCCATCCTTATTGGAAAGTGCAATATAACCTTGTCCTATCGGAATGGTAAGGTTTCAGGAGGCATACTTCAAGAAATCACCTGCTACTTCGGTGTGAATTTGTAATTCCAGTATTTTTCTACAAATGCAGATAAAGAGCCAGAGATGTCTACAAAGGAGGAAGATTTTGTTGTACGAGTCCGTGGTCTACCATGGTCATGTACACCAGAAGAAGTTATTCGTTTTTTCTCAGGTGCTTGTTCTGTATGTTTGTAATTAATTTGAGCAGCTGCTGTGTAAAATGCACTTTTATCTAATTTTTATGTGATTATAGAATTTTCCCATTGTGTTTATCTCTAGAATGTGATATTGTGAACGGATCTTCTGGAGTGCGATTCACAACAACAAAGGGCGTCCGTCCAAGTGGAGAAGCCTACGTTGAACTAGAGACAGCTGAAGACTTCAAAAAAGCTTTAGCGAAAGACCGGAAGTATTTGGGACATCGTTACATAGAGGGTAGGTAAAATTCTTCTGTCTTTTATGCACTCGGGCTGTATTTCAACAGCTGAAGAAGATACCTAGTCTTATACCATGTGGATTACTTACGAACTTACAGGGGCAAAGTTGAAAAATTGTAATTGAAATGTGACAGTTTCTTTTGGGAGTAGATTTGTCCACCTGGCTACCCATCACCTTCCCCAAATAGTCCGTTGACTTGTGATGGTATCTAAAACTCTGAATCACTTTTAATATTCTGTAGGTGACTCGGAATTTTTCTAGGATTCTGATTGCTTTGAAAAAAGTCATTGCTATATTTAATACCTTTTTGACAAAAGTGCATGTCATTGTTGATGAACAGAAAACAAAGGCTGATGAAGTTTGATTCATACATTACCTGTGGCTGATGGAAAATGAGGCATGTGCCTTCTGATTTGAGATTAAAGAATTGATATGCTGCTTTCAATCCAGTGAAGCAAGGTCAGTAGGTTGATTGAAGTTACCTAATGTGACATAACTGACCACAGGCAGTTATTTAACTTTTGCAAATAATTTGGCTTTTTTTTAATACAGTTGAAGTTTGGGAAACAGCAACTAAAATAGAGAGAGAGGCTGAATTCTGGGACTAGAATTGGGACTTATTGAGGTATAATAATAATCCTTGCATTTGATAGAGCGCTTTTCACGTCTTCTCGACATCTCAAAGCGCTTCACAGAATAGACTGTAAAGTGAATTGATTGTATATTTGTGGGGGAAACGCGGCAGCCAATCGCGCACAGCAGTCGTGGATTGAAAATGACCAATTTATTATGTTTTATTTTGGAGGGATTATTATTAGGCGTGTGGAGTAAGGAAACTTGCCCAAGGTTTTGCCCTGCCTGGAATTGAACCCAGGTGTCTTGCTTGCAAGGCGAGTGCTCTAACCACTGAGCTACAGGACTCCACATGCACAGAGATGTCTAATGCAGACGTTGTACTGGTTGAGAGGGAGATTGCTAGGTAGACATGTTTGTTTAAGTTGAGAGAAGGAATGGGCTGGTGTCTTCATGACTATTCTTGATGGAAGACATTTTTGGAGAGTATTATATAGGATGTCCACAAAGTCCTGTTAGCCCCCTTGTTTTTTTTATATACGCAGTGCACTGACCAACAACTGAAGCATGTGGAAGAATGATGATAATTGTACTTAATTGTATTCAGTACTGTATTTAGTTGTGAGTGAGCGCCATCATTTTCATGGCAGATAATGATCCTTCGCCATGCTCGGTGCAACATCTTCCATAACATGGTGAAGTGAGGAGGCGAAATGCATCTCTTGACAGCATGTTTCAGCTCCTCCACAGTCTTCTTTCGCTGTTTTGTAACGGGGTAACAAGTATGTTGTCCCTTGTCTTACAATAACCACCTGCACTGTTTTCATATCAGCAAAGGGAACCAGGTTCCATTATGCGGATATCAGACTTGAAATGAAGAAGAGATGTCCAGCGATGGGAACAGGCTTCAAAAAAATGTAGGACTCCTTCATAGTCTTGTAACGCTGTTTTGTAACTCACCATATCAGCAACTTAGATTTATATAGTGCCATTCCCACGCGATAGAGGTTTGGAGCGTTGTTTCCTTGATGGAGCACAAGAAAGGGCTCATAAAGTACTTGATGTAACCTAGACGATAGTGACCACGAGCAGGTGAAGAGATGTGAGGATGCAAATTCAAATGCCCTTGACCAATCGACAGACTGCGCTGTGTAATGATGTGAAGAGCAATATCATCCAGCAGAACAAAATTGCCATCTGCTAATGCTGGGGCAGGGCATTTGGAGGAACCGGCACCTGGATACCACCTGCTGAATCTGAGCACAATAATGTACTGAGAGAAGACTATGCTGGAGAATTTGTCCTGGGCACGTAGAGAGATGGATTGAAAGTTCTGCTTGCTCCCAAACCATACCTACATCTCCAAGAAACACCCTGAATGAAGCCTTTATTTGCTCTTGCCAACTTGTTTCTCTGGGAAGCAGGTTGCACACTCAGTTTGATTTTGATACCTGGCTGGCGAAAAAAAAAAACTTCCAAACTTGTCCACTATTCTAATTCAGGATTTGCTGACACACTTTTGAGAGTGGTACCCGAACTGTCTTTGTTCTTTTAGTGTTTATCACCCAAATGCATAATGTGTAAGTGGTTTAAGTACCCGCACAAAATTGTACCCCCACTCCAAGGATATAGCATGAATGATCTGGTCTTGTTAATCTCTGGAGCTGGAGTTCCCAAATCCTTGACTTGGAGTTCGTTGTCGTGCCAATGAAAAATAAAAAGTGGTTGGAGAGCAGTGTTTCAGGTTATAAAGGGATTTGCATGGTCTATTTAAATGTTAAATCCTTAAATGTTGGTAATTTGTGTGTTTTTAGTTTTCAAGTCAAACAGCAGTGAGATGGATTGGGTACTAAAACACAGCGGTCCAAACCACCCAGAGCCCGTTGAGGACGGGACAGTGCGACTCCGTGGACTTCCATTTGGTTGCAGCAAGGAAGAAATTGTTCAGTTTTTCTCAGGTACCTTTTACCTGCTTATGTTTGGTATACTATATTAGTTTTGATTTGTGTAGATATTGAGAGCATGAACAATGTAAATTAAGCAACATTGACAAGCTGTTGAATCATTCACATGGCAAGAACCAAGTTTGTCCTAATTTTCTGAGATTTTGACTTTTTTTGGTAATTTTAACGTGAAAGGTGTTTAGAATGTAAATTGGAAGCCCAACAAAATAAAACTTATTCCAAGTGTAATTTTGAATTTTATCTGAGGCTGGATTCAAAGTACTGACTATAGAAATCATTTTTAAATTTACTGCCATATACCAGAGCGATATAATTGATAAAGTAAGTTTCCAAATGTATAGATCTATTTTTGATTGATTTAAACCACACTTTTTAACAGTATGAAAGATGGGGGGGTTGTTGACTATAGCTGTTCTTTGTAACTGTGTGAAGTGTAAATAGTTCTATCAGTACATTTTTGATATGTGGTAAATGGGTGACTGGGCTTTTAACTTTTCTAGATGACGTTTAAGTATTGTTAAATTTGGGAATTGTGCATCATTTAATATTGTTCCCCTTGATGGGGTTATTTGTCCTTGGGTTAAAGGGTTGGAAATCGTGCCAAATGGGATAACTTTGCCGATGGACTACCAGGGGAGAAGCACAGGGGAGGCCTTCGTGCAGTTTGCTTCAAAGGAGATAGCAGAAAAAGCACTGGGGAAACACAAGGAAAGAATAGGGCACAGGTGGGGATGGACAGACGGGTTGGTTATTCATCTTAAAGTCGAGTTTAAAGCACTGGGCAACGTTAAATAACATTTTTTTGAGGTTGGGACTACACACTGATCTTGCACTCAGTTAAGAACATTTTGAGACTAATCATGGTATCTCTACAAGCTTTTCTATAATTCTGAGATGTCCCAGTAAAAGTTTGTGTCTTGCCTTAGTTCTGTATTTTAAACGTGTTAATATGTGTGATTAGAAAATAACATTTGTGGATTTGAGAAACTCCAGCAAATCTGAGCGTACTGGTCTTACGTGAAAGGTCTCATAACCATCTCAAATGTGTAATCGGGTATGATTCTGGGACACCCAATCTCCATTCCTGTGCCTGTTTGGGAGTCACATTCATACACCTGTCTAAACCTGTGTTTTGAGGTGATCATGAGTTCTTTTGAATTAGTGTTATAGTGGCTATTAAAGTTTGTGGCCACTTTCCCCCCTCCAGCCCTTGCTCACTTGTCTATCGTCACCAGTAACATTGTTTTCTCACATGGTTGTGCCACTTTGCTCCCCTTTCCGGGGGGTGTTACTTTCACAGTCATGTGCCCCCTTTTGGGGCTGTCTTTCACTCCTGAGTTCCCTATCCCCAGGAGGCTGTCTGTTGCCCCTTGCTTTCTCGTTCTGCAGATCAGTGGAAGCCCAAGATGAAGGTTAATAATCATGCTTAGATTTTAATTACGTCTATGAAGAATGTAAGTGTCGTGTAATATATTTTAAATATTGATTTGATTTTACTGGTCTGTAAATTGACTTGGTATCTGAGCACTAATGGAATTACTGGTTCAATCAGAGAAGATGTTGCAAAGAAAACCTCAAATCAACAGCTTCATACACTGTACCACAAGTTATATGACAATAACTTCATTTGATGTGGAAATGTATTCAAAATGAGTAGTCTTGTGTTGAGTCATAAATTGCTGTGTAGTGTGGATTACTTAATTGCTTTTCAAAAAACTATAACTTCTGCATGTTAACAGTAAATTGTTGTGATTTAGATACATTGAGATCTTCAAAAGCAGCAGGAGTGAGGTCAGAGCATACTATGATCCACCGAAAAGGCTGATGGGGCAACGACCAGGTCCATATGATCGGCCAACGGGGCGGAGTGGTTACCTTGGCGGACTTCCCAGGGGTAGTGTTTATGACCGGATGCGCCGTGGAGGAGGTGGATACGGTGGTGGTAAGTTGGCAACACAAAATATATTCTGACCTTATGTACATAACATATTGTAAGTTATGCTTGGGAGGTCATCTACTTTAAACTGTTTTAGACCTGCTCTGTTAATTGTTTGCCAAAGATAAAGTAGGTTCTTGTGTGTAGGGTGATGTTCTGACTTGCAAATTGAATGTTAATGGATGATTTGTATTTACTAACTTTTTCTTGGCAAACGAGTAGTTTACTTGAGGCAATGTGAACGTTGCTGGGTTTTCCGTTCAAAGTGGTAACCTCTAGGAAGAAGAACTCTGTAGGTGACATAGTTGTTGAGTTTTGCAGGGTTGATTTGAAGCTGATGTTGATTTCTTGCTGTTCAGGTTATGGTGGATATGATGACTACAATGGATACAATGACAATTATGGCTATGGCAATGATGGATATGATGGAGCAGGCATGAGAGGTGTGTGTTTTTTCACAAGGAAAAAGATCTGTTCCTTGTCATTTTTGTTCATACAACTGATTCAGAACTTCTCACTGCTCATATCCTCACCCCTATCATACTGCACACCATCTGCATCTTTTTTCCAAGATCCTCACGCTTGCTTGCAGATGACATCATGTCCTAACACCTACCTACCTACCTTTCCTTACAACCTCATTTCTCTACCTGCTTTCTTCACTCAGACTTTCTGCACGTCCCTCGATGCCTCCATTCCACCATCAGTGGCGGGCTTTCAGCTGCTATGTCAACCTTTGGAACTCCCTGTCTCAGTCCCTCCAACTTCTCCCATTTACCCACTTTACGAATGTTACTAAGGTCTACTTCTTGGCTCAGAGACAAACTCTGCCGTTGTTCAGCGCCCCAACAGTACTCGTGTGAATGGAGCTAAATGAATGCAAGCTATTTTTATTGATTTGGAGAAGGAGCTACTTGAGGAATAGTTTATGGAATCATAGAATGTTGCAGCACAGAAACAAACCACTTGGCCCGATTAAATCTTTCTCCGCATGACGTACCTACACTAAGTGTACTCTGCTCCTGTTTAATCCCTATCATCCTTCACTATTCCTTGCAAGGCCATAAATTAGTAGCGTTAAATTCTTGTTGTCTAACGATGGGAAGTAGACGTTCTTGCATCTGAAATATTTTCCTTTTCTTTAAAAGGTATGGGCAACCATGGGTATGGGGGAGCCGGAGATGCAAGTTCTGGCTTCCTCAGTGGTCACTTTGTCCACATGCGTGGCCTCCCTTTCCGGGCATCTGAAGATGACATTGCACATGTAAGTTACTGTTCTAAACTAGCCAGCATTCTGTGCCGATTGTTTTTTGTTCTCTTCACTAAATTAATAAATCAAATGTGTTTCAGCACAGAAGTAAGATGAGTCTGTTTTTTATATAGTTTTTCTCACCGCTCAATCCGCTGAGAATACACCTTGAATACGGAGCTGATGGCCGTGCAACCGGGGAGGCAGATGTAGAGTTTGCAACCCATGAAGATGCAGTGGCTGCCATGGCTAAAGACAAAGCTCACATGCGTAAGTCAGTTCTCCTTCAAAAAAAATTGGGGTGGGGGGGCATCTTCACAGCAAGCTTGTCTTTGTTTAGGCCATGTTTCAGTCTGATGCTGGTTTTAGGAAGTGACTTGCGTGTAGATCTGGCGACCTCGGATCTGTCGCTTTCTGTGCTAAATTCGAATTCAAGATCCTCATTCTCACCTACAAGGCCATTCATTCATGGCCTTGCACCCTCCTACCTCTCCGACCTACTATCCCCCTACTTAGCTGCCCGTACCCTCGGTTCCGCTGGCTCCGGTCTGCTCCACACACCCCGCCCTAACCGCCCTACCATTGGTGGCTGGGCTTTCAGCCTCTCAGCCCCTAGGCTCTGGAACTCCATCCCCCAGTGCCTTCGCCTTGCTTCCTCCATTTCCTCCTTCAAAGCCGATCTAAAGACCTTTCTCTTCAGCTCTCCTCTCGACTCTACTCCCTCCTCGCTCCCTCCCTTTCTTCCCTCACCCTGACCATTTCCCCCCTGCTCGGGTCCCGACCCAACTATCAAGCACCTTGGGATGTCCTCCCGACGTGAAAGGCGCTCTATAAATGCAATCTTCTTGTTGTAAATGGCCAGCAATTGGGAATTGGGCCACTGCTGATGTTATTTCCTACCTTACACATATGTGGCCCAGATTGAGTATTTTGTACATGTAGTGGGATTTCTGGGGCTGAGGTTAAAGCCCTTTAATCTCTGGGTGATGTATGCTTGGGGCCCGTTTAGCCTAATTAGTAGTGTTACTGCTAATTGCTGGTGAAAATGTACCATTGAGTTTGGGCAAACAAGTAATATGAGCTGAGCAGCTGGAAGGAGAATCGTTTTGGTTTGTATGTACTGTTTCCAAATCCCTGGCATTGATCCATCAATAATAATTCATCTTGTTTTTCATTTCTCTCTGTTAGAACATCGATACATTGAGTTGTTCTTGAATTCAACTGCTGGAGGTTCAGGCATGGGCAGCTATGGACACGGTATGAGTGGTTATTTGTGCAAATAAAGTTATTTTTGTAATGTGAATTGACCTGTAACTAATCTCTTGCACATTTCCATCTGCCTGCAGCTGGCCAAGGAGGGTATGGCTCCAGTGGCCAGGGTAGCTATGGTGGCTACGGCGGCCAAGGTGGTATGGGGGGATATGGTGAGTAAAATTACGGTGAGTCTGTTTTTTTGGGTTTATAATAAACCATTTTTTCAGTATTTGATTATCATGTGTAACACTTTTGAGTGCTTGATTGTGATTGTTATAACTCACCGGACCGCTCCTTCCACTCAGCAAACAATGTCCCACTAACATGTCTCCTGCCCTATCCACCCCAGCAAGCTTTCAGCCGTTAAGCCCCTCTGCAGTACATCCCTCCAACTCATTCAAAGTGTCATAACCCACCCTCCCCCTGGCTTGGGTATCCAGCCAGCAGTGTAAAGGTGCTTTGAGACATCCTCCTGGTGTGAAAGGCACTGTGTAAATATGTGTTGTGTACTTTCTGTTTGTAACATGCATTTGTTGTATCTTGACTGTTACACTTTAGGAGAGACATTGAATTATAGTCCGTTACAATGTTTGTGTGACTTAATTATTAGCTAAACTCAATAATTTTAGTAGTCAATTGTACCTCTGCAAATGTTTGCTTGGTGTACTGTTGGCTTCAGCGCACTTGCTGCCTATTTAGTTTTAAAGTGGTTTGGTTTGCCAAGGAACTAGAGACTTCCAGACGTGTTTTGGTTAGGGTGACTCCAGCTCCCACTCACAATTTAGTTAATCTGAAGTCATGAATTTTTTACCGTCAGTTGGGTGTCTGACAAATACAGCAACCCATTACCATGTATAAAAGTGTCCTGGAGGGCACTTCCTTTCTGGAGGAACACTCCTGCTTACAAAATTCCAAAGAGTGTTGGGTACATGTTGGCAACGGCCAAGGCTTGGGATTCCAGAGTGTTCACTGGGGTACAACTTGGACTTTAACCAGCTAAAACTGTATATCTTGCCATTGAGAACATTGTCTGGCAAGTTTTCCTGCTGCTTGACCAGTGAGATCCACACTACTCATTTAGGCTTTGGCTTGCAGGGTTAACAGGGACTGAGTGGGAAGAATCCCTGTCCCCAGTGGTTGGTCTGCCTTTCCAAGTCCTATCAGGCTGGCTGGCCTCATAAGCAGTGCCGAGGAATACTGTCCCTGCCCAGCTTGGGAACTGGACCAGAGACTGCCACTGAGGGTTCATTCAAATCTAACATTCTTTGCTATTGATTTCAGAGCAGCTCATAATTGGGCTCAGCTGGAGGTATCAGGGTGGGAGACAGGTCCCTTTCAGATCATCATTGCCCATTTGTGTGAAGGGGGATGAGGATGCGTAACATGGGTTGATGGTGGGGAAGAGGAGGAATGGGTAGCACAGGTAGCAATGGTTGATGAGGCAGTGGAGGATGGTACCAGTAAGTGAATTATGTAGTCTTTTCTGTGCAGCAGTGCAGTTGTGAAGGAAGCACTGACCCTGTTATGTATGTATTATGTTTCTTCACCTTGGATAGATTTATTTGTACCTGCTGTGGCCTGTTCCTTCTACAGTTTAAACCTGAATTGTCTTAAACCATAATGGCTGTGTTCCTTTATTCCAGGTCGCTACGGAGGGAGCAGTGGCAGTGGAGGTGGCGGCTACTTCAGTGGTTCTAGTCACGGAGGAATGGGGATGGGCAGCATGGGGGGAGGGGTGGGCAGCAGTGGGTGGCGAGGCAGTGGAGGGTGGTACCAGTAAGCCGATTCTGCAATCTTTTTATGTGCAGTACAGTTGTGAAGCAAACACTGACCCCGTTGGTAATTTTGGAGGCGTTTTCAAAATGTGTTTTATATTCTCAAGAACTTGGTAGTTCAAAGTCAGCAATATTCTGGTTCTATTTCTATAACTGGTTCCGCAGTACTAAGATTTTACGATAGTTACGATTTGTGCCACTTGTGATAATGTTCATTCTAGATTTGGCTTTTTTTTAAGTGTTTTAATATCTGGATATTTTGTTCCTGTGCTTTTATTTTTCAAATGTTTTTTTTCTTTCCCCCCCCCCCCCCCCTATCCCATCCCCTTAATGACTGACTAAAATAAACCCTTTCTGGAAAACAAGCTGTTGGAGTGGTTGGACTTTTGTCAGTTCTGCAACATTTAGTCAACCAACTGTTTTTAGGAAATTTACTGGTGAGGTCTGAGTTAAGGCCTCGTCCAGATACACGCTGCCACTCAAATACATGGAGATGCTGATCAGTAGGGCTACTTAATGGCACCTCTGCTTAGTATATTATGTTTGGGGGGTTATTTAAGAAAAGCAGATTCTCAAATTGACATATCAAAAGGTGTAGAAATAGTTACAGCTACTATAACCGCAGGGCCAACTTTTGATTTTTATAGCTTGTTGTAACAGATGGAGATTCCGTTGCTCGACTTGTTGATGTCTGATAAAGGTGTATATTTTTCATTCACCCCTCCATGCTGTGATTTCCTCGTTTGTGCAGCATGTGCGACCTCTGTCATGCTTCTGTATTCGATGAACAGTTAATTCTGACAATATAGGCAATTATCTGATGCAGATTTATTTTAAATAAAAGTTTGTTTCACTTCCATTGCTTTGTGTTTAAATGTGAAGTTGTGAATCTATAAATGAGCTAACTGGCTCAGATTGTAACTGCATTCCTTGTGCACTGGGATGCATTCCTTGCTGTCCTCGGACAAGATGTTAAAGATCTTTACCATCTTGCCTGTTCGTGTAATGCTCAGTGCTGTCCGCACTGCCAAAGAGGGTGAAATCTAGAAACGCAAGTCTAGAACAGAAACGATCCTGGCCAATTTTAGCCTTCCAAACCCTTGGGCCTGAGGCCAGTTGTACCATCCCAACTTGTATCAACTTGGTTTGAACCTGCAGACGTCTGGTCTCTGTCATATAGTGTTGCTTTCAATGGATTGGCTGGGAATTGGATTGAACTGCACACCGTCAATAGGCTGTGCAATTGCCCATTAGCAAAGGGCCATTTTTCCCTGCAGAAGTTTCCAACCCAAGACTGCAGCATCTTGAGCGGCTTCTCTGACATCCACTCATGTTTTACATTGCTTCTTCCCTCCACAGAGACAGCACTGCCATCTCGAGGCCACCACTGTATTTCGCTGCCCTTTTGTACAATAATACTTTATTCAAGATATGTTCTGGATTTCTGCTGCGGTGTAACTCACCTCCAGCTTGGGAATGTGTTTTAACAGCAGAAATGGCAAGTTTCAACCCACAACTTACCTCTCATCCAGAACAGCACTCTGGAGATCCAAGCACTCAAAAGCATCTACTTGCTCAACAATTTCATTCAATAGATACTTCTTGTCAGTCTTCAAAGAAAAACTCGCTGCTGGCTTTCCTATATTGCCTGGGTCACAGACACAAGCTATGTACTGGAAGGTAACAAGAAAGCACTTTTTCATGTGTACTGTCTTTCTGCCCATATTTTTCCAAATAAATTACTTCTTGTACGACAGTCTGTTATAGTTGCTTCTCTTAAACCTGTACTCTTGATCAGTCTATTTAATACTTGCAGAAAGAAGTCACATTTAGTAATATCTCAGTGGACATGTACATTTGAAATACATAAATCTTTACAAAATGATTGCAAAGATTGGAATGGCAGCAACAACAGCTCGCACTTATATAGTCCCCTCCAAGTGTCTCAGAGCCCTTAACAGTGGAGAAGCCTGACTCTGAGCTGGTGGGTGGGGGAGCGGCGGTGGGAGGTGCCCATAAGCACAGTTGAAGAGGAAGGTTTTCAGGAGGGACTTGAAAAGGGAGGGAGGAGGTAGGGGAGGTGCCAGGAAGTGAAGAGATTTGAACATGAGTGTGAGGATCTTGAAATTGATCTGATCGGTGATGGGGAGCCAGTGGAGCCTGGCCAGAACTGGTGCGGGTACGGAGTTTGGTCCAGGTCAGTATGCGGGCGGCAAAGTTCTGAATGAACTGGATCTTTTGAATGGTGGAACTGGGGAAACCGTTGAGTGAGTTTGAGTAATCCAAATAATAATAATAATAATAATAATCCTTGCATTTGATAAAGCGCTTTTCACGTCGGGAGGACGTCCCAAAGCGCTTCACAGAACACACTGTAAAGTGAATTGACTATATTTGTGGGCGAACGCGGCAGCCAATTGCGCACAGCAATGTCCCACAAACAGTCATGGATGGAAAATGACCAATTTATTATTGTTTTTGGTTTTTTGAGGGATTATTATTAGGCTCTGTGTGGAGTAAGGAAACTTGCCCAAGGTTTCGCCCTGTCTGGAATTGAACTCAGGTCTCTCGCTTGCAAAGCGAGTGCTCTAACCACTGAGCTACAGGACTCCACAAGAGGAGGTGACAAACGCATGCATGAGGGTTTCGGCCTCATTTGGGGTAAAGTAGTCAGAGGTGGAAGAAAGCGTTCCTGGTCAGGGACCAGATGTGGGCAAGGAAAGACTGCTGTGGGTCGGACCGGATACCTAGATTGCGCATTGGTTCGGTGAGTCTGAGGGAGAGCCCAGGGAGGTTGAGGAGTTTAGATCTGCAGGAGCGAAGGTGATGACGGGAGTCGAGGAGTCTGTCTTCCATCTTATCCATATTCAGCTGCAGGAAGATTGCACTCATCCAGGCCCTGATGTCTGTCAGGCCAGCTGAGAGAACATCGGTAGACCTGGAGTTGGTACTGGAGGAGGCAAAGTAGATTTGTGTGTCATCCGTATACATGTGGAAGTTTATCCCGTATTTGCGGATGACATTGCCCAGAGGGAGCATGTAGATAAGGAAAAGAAGAGGGCCAAGGATGGAGCCCTAGGCTACTACGCAGGTGACCGGGTGGGAACGGGAGGAGAAACCATCTGCTGAGATGAAAAGTAGGTGTTTGGTTAAGTAGGAATTGAACCATGCAAGTGCGCTCCCACTAAGGTGGATGAGGGAGGAGAGGCGGTGGAGGAGGATGATTGTGTTCAACAGAGCAGAGGTCCAGAAGGACGAGGAGGCAGAGGGGGCCCTGGTCACAGATAGAGAGCACATTGTTTGTGTACATATTCAAGCACCCGAGTGAAAGCCAAATAAATTTAGAAATCCAATGAGAATAGGATGTACTCGCTATGGAGGAATTTACCCTTTATAAATGACGGCAGAATAATCCAACTGCACTCCGTAACCACATGATGGCAGTAGAGTTTTGTTTCATGCAGCAGACCTGACCAGTAAATACATGAAGGCTGAGAAGAAAGTCCTAATAATAATAATAATCCTTGCATTTGACATAGTGCCTTTCACATTGTCGAGACATCGCAAAGACTGTTTATTGTGTGAGTGTGGCAGAGAGTACCCAGAACAGCACTCTGGGGATCCAAGCACTCAAAAGCATCTACTTGCTCAACAATTTCATACAATAGATACTTTTCATCAGTCTTTAAAGAAGACAAACTTGCTGCTGCCTTTCTTATATTGCCTGGGTCACAGACACAAACTATGTGTTGGAAGGTAACAAGAGAGAGCACTTTTTCATGTGTCTTTCTGCCCATATTTTTCCAAATAAATTACTTGTATGACTGTTTTAGTTGCTTCTCTTAAACCTATCCTCTTGATCAGTCTATTCAATAACTTGCAGAAAGAAGTCACACTTAGTAATATCTCAGTGAACATGTATATTTGAAATGCATAATCTTTGCAAAATGATCGCAAAGATTTAAAGATTGGAATTACATATTCAAGCACCTCAGTGAAAGCTAAATAAATTTGCAACTCAAATGAGAATAGGATGTACTCTCTGAAGGAATTTACCCTTTACAAATGACCGCAGAATAATACAATTGCTCTCTGTAATCACATGATGGCAGTAGAGTTTTATGTTTCATGCAGTAGACCTGACCAGTAAGTACATGAAGGCTGGAAAAAAAAGTCCTGATAATAATAATAATCCTTTCATATTGTCGAGACATCTCAAAGTGCTTCACAGGATATACTGTAAAGTGGATTGACTTTATTTTCGGAGTGAAACGTGGCAGAGAGTGCTACCACTGCCGTAGGCTGACAAAAGTCATGCCAGAATTGCTAGTTAAAAATCAATATTTGACTCACACACATTTGGTCTCAGTATCTCCAAATGACCACCCATCTGCAAAGAGCAAAAGTTATGCATGGTCAGATAAAGACCAGTTTCTACCATGCAGTTGCAGCCCTGTAAATAGTTTTCATGTCAAAAAGTAAAAAGGTTGTTAAAGAAATATTAAAAATCCAATTCAAGCTAATAGTCAGTAGCAATAGGCTGCTCTATGGAACACTATATACTGTTGTGTGAATATACTGGTGTTTAAATTTTAAGAGTCACAAAAAGATAAGTAAAAGTCAGCCCCCCCCAGATAGAAACATAGAAATCTACAAAGCAGAAGAAGATCATTCAACCCTTCGAAACCGCACCAGCTCTCAGACCAAGAAGTTCACTTCAATCACAACTTATCCCCAATCCACTTCAAGCCACTCTGTTTCACATTCCTGTTTATTCCACTCTTGAAACTACAATGGATTCTGCTTCCATCACTGTAAATTACATTTATATAGCAGCTTTCATATCATAAGGACATTCCAAGGCGATGGACAGTTAAGGGTTTGCACGCGAGCTGGGGGTGGAGAGGGGTGGAGGGTATGAAGGGTTCGAGGATAGCTGAAGGCATGATCACAGAAGAAGATCTTGAGACGGGCTTTGATGAATGCATTAATAAGGGTCCTGGCAGCCTGATGGGAGAGGCAGTGGCGGAAGTGGGCACTATTGTGGAGTTGGAGATGGTAGAATTGATCATGGCATGGATGTGCGATTTAAAGACTAGTTGAGTGTAGAACAGGACACCAAGGTTCTATACTGGCTCTGTGAGGTACAATGTGGATCTGTGAACGGTGGTGCTGCAGTGCCTGAGGTGTGAAGATGCTGATGGGAGCCAAGCAGGAGGGCTTGTGTCTTTCCAACATTCAGTTGGAGAAAGTCATCCAGGACTTGATGTCTGACAGGCAGTCTGCCAGAACAGCAATGATCCTAGAGTTGAGGGTAGAGGCAGAGAGATAGCGTTGGATGTCATCCACATGTCTACAGATGACATCACCAAGGGGGAGAGGGTAGATATTAAATAAGTAGAGAACCAAGTTCAGAGCACTGTGGAACACCCCACATGTGGTACAACAACAACAACAAGATTCCATTTATAAAGCGCCTTTCACGTCAGGAGGACGTCCCAAGGCGCTGCACAGTTGGGTCATGACCCGAGCAGGGGGGAAATGGTCAGGGTGAGGGAAGGGAGGGAGCAAGGAAGGGGAAATGATCAGGGTGAGGGGAGGGAAGGGAGGGAGCGAGGAGGGGGAAGAGAGTCGAGAGGGAAGCTGAAGGCACGGTCAAAGAGAAAGGTTTTGAGACCGGCCTTGAAGGAGGAAAGGGAGGAAGCAAGGCGAAGGCACTGGGGGATGGAGTTCCAGAGCCTGGGGGCTGAGAGGCTGAAGGCCCGACCACCGATGGTAGGGCGGTTGGGGTGGGGGACGTGGAGCAGACCAGAGCCAGAGGAACGGAGGGTACGGGCAGGTAGGTAGGGGGATAGTAGG